AAGCTCTTCGGTGCCCTGTCGATATAACGGGGAGAAAGCATTTGGTAAAGGGGCTTCGAGCTGTATCTTGTGGTCGTATATGCGGTGGGGGGGATTCGATCCGATTCCAACTTCGAAAAGACATCGGTGTACCTCCGGTGCATATGCGGAAGCTTCTGCTGGATAAGGCGGAGCGTTTCTTCGTCCTCTACCAACTCCTTTTCATGAATGATCTGATCGATTTCGTAGATGCTAGTTTGAAAAAACTCGGAGTCGTTTCGCATCATCTCGTGGTGGAAAGCATTTGCACTGATTTCGCATATATGCATGGGCGTAAACCTATGTATTAGGGTTTTCTGCGGTGGGGGAGAAACCTCCTGGTTTTGTGGTGGGTTCGATGGCGTATCGGTGATCTCTTCATAGTCGGAAGTTATCACTTTCATTTCCATTGAACGTCCGCCTGCGCGGCGTCTGTCTTCGCGGTGGATTGCGAAATCCCGGCGATTCGCATCCGACTGGTATGCAGGATGTTTAATGGACGTTTCGCGTGAGTGGTAGGGCAAGGTGATCTCCTTGCTCCAGCTAGGAGTCGGCGGGTACTCCTTTGGCCATACTAACTGGCTCTTTGCAGAGTCGAGTAGTATTCGGAAGCGGCTGAAAAGCTTCTTCCCAATTATCACATCTTGTGTGAGTACAAAGGGGCAGTTATATATTCAGCGTCCTTCGACTGTTAAGTGTAACCGAATATACTCCGATATGTGGCCTTGGATTTTGCGCTGAAATCCACGTATGGGTACAGAGTAGGGTAGTTTCCGTATAGGGCTCTGAAGCACTTTCGACAGTCGTATTGCGAAAGGCTTGTTAATGACGAGGTAGCCGTTTGCTCCTGTGTCTGCTAGGGACTTTGTTTGCACACCGAGTCCATTCATACTCAGGGTCGTGTCGACTAAGAACTGGGTGCCTCCCAGGAGTTCTCGTAAGTCTAGTCCTCGCAGGTCACATTTGCGTAGACCTAGGAAGGAGCCTTCTCCTAGGCCTCGTCGTTTTCCTCGAGGGACGCATCCGATTGAAGTTCCACAGCTTCTTCCCATTGTTCTTCTGCCTCGGGGTCGTTACGGTCCATTTCCTTGATAGTAGCGTTAAGGGGGCATTTGTCCTGGAAATGGCCGGGCTTGCCACACTTGAAACAGTTTCCTGAGGGCGCAGGGACTGCGGTTCTCGGACGTTCCGGTATGGCTGGCTTGGGGAGGAACGTGGTTCGGGTGAACAGAGCGGATGTGGCTCGAGTCAGCTTCGACGCTGATGACGCCTTTGCCGTATCCGTGGTACGTGTGGACGTCCTTGCGAGAGCGGGTAGCGGATTCAATTTGTTGTTCCGGCGCCGTTCCTGGTCGAAGGCGGTAAGTTCTCGTACCATGGTCTGGTATTCTCCCTTCCATTGGTTTTTGATGATCGCAACGCGGCTGCGGAATTGAGGAGTCAACTTGTTCCACATGTACCGAAACCATTCCGACTCGGAGACTTGTCCTGTGATAGCTGCACTTTGGAAACGAGCCTTGAACTCTGGGAAGGTTTCGCTAGCATGCCCTTTCTCTCCCATTTGCAGGTCGTCGAAGAGGTTCCTGGCCTGTTCCGTCTCGTTGCCTGTGAGGTAGTATGAACCTAGTAGATCCATCATCTCCTCAGCACTGCGGAACCCATGCGTAGCGGACAGGTATTGGGGCTCTAGGTAGGTCTTCGCCAGGCCGGTCGTAGTTCCCCATATCAACGCTCTTCTCGAGACGTCGGTAAGATAGTGATCCTCATTAACTACGAGTCGGTCCCGAATCGAAGCGCTCCATTGTAAGAAGGTATGTTCTACCCCATCGCTGAGAGGAAGGATTTTCTCAGAGATGGTTGATTTCTTATAGCGATTCGGAGGGTCCTCGGTGTGCATTCGTGATGACCCTGGAATCGAGGGAGAACGAGTGTTCCGAAGAGGCAGCAATTGAACCGTCTCGGGTGTGTTTCGTGTACGAGGCGTTCGTTGCTCCGTAACTTCGACTGTGGGTATGGGGGCGTCCACCGGCGGTGTGGACGGGATTCTGGTCTGGGATGCCGACAGGATAACTAGTAGATCCTTGACCTCCTGTATCTGTGCTTCGAGGTGGGCCATTCGACTCGGGATGTCTTCGGATGGCACAGACGTTGTAGCTGCAGCGGTGGTTTGTCTGGTAGTCATTCTGGGCAGTTGACCGTCGTTGTCTTGGGGTATGTTTGATGTCGGCTTTTTCGACATATTGCCTCGGGTGTGTATCAGTACCGATACGAAAGAGCTTGACTTCCGGTAGCTCGTAGCTATCAACGCTCTTGTCCACAATTTCCTCTGTGCTATGAGGGGGTTCTTAAGGATCTCGTATCCTATTTGGCGCCAACGCGTCGGCGACTTTACCAGCTTGTTCTGAAGAATCAAACCCTGATCCACTGGCTGTCCGTGAGATCTCTGGAATCACGGCTATTTGAAGTCGTCAGGTCTCTCCTCCGAAACATCACCGAGTCGCAGTCGATGGTGCAACGGTAGTTCTCCTGAGTCATTCCGTTGTGGGATATTATTTAAGTACGGCCGTCCCCGGCAGGCGTGATCTTTTTTGTATAATGTAAGGACACAGGGCACCCAGCTCACAGTAATAGCATATGAGAGTGCGAGTCGGAGGCTAAACGGATGCTATCCTATAGGTCTACTACGAAGGATACAAAAAAGATGAAGGGGGAACCCCGTTGAGTCTGTTTCCTTAACTCCCGAAACGGGCCCGACTCGGTTATCCCAACCCTAGCCCTGAACCTTCCACCGCAACAGGTCTACATCAGCCCTGAACCCTATACACTTACCGTCCCCCACTATAGTGTAACTCGCTATATGCTCCTCTACTGGTTCGAAACCCCACCGAGTCGGATTCCATGCTTGTAGTGACCGTAACAGTTCTGAGACAGGTTCTTCGAGTATCTAGGTACGGAGGCATCCTTACAGTCTTGGTATGCTAAAGGCAAAATGACCTCCTGAGATGATTTCTCCAAATCTGAAGTAGCTGCTATCTCCAGGACAGGTTGGAAAGGTTTAACCCATATCAGAGATGATATATCGTCCATAGTTTGGTCAAAATCCTTGATCTGGGACAAGTCTGAGTCTTGGACCTGAATAGGGGTAACTGAGGCTTGAAGGGTTTTTTCAGTATTGAGCTCAGGATTTGAGCTAAACCCAAGCGATAAATGCTTCCAATTGATAGTTGGATCATGCCTTTGAAGCCATGGAAGACCTAGGATGACTGGGTACTTCATTGGTATAACATCTAAAGAGATGGTGTCTGAAAATGTTGATTTTCCTAGGGGAATCTCAAGTTTGAGTACTGGGGTGTTGCAGGTAATGGAACCTGAACTGATAGGAGTTCCATCAATGACTCGGAGCAACTCTGGAGTGCGTTTGGGAATTGTAGGTAACTGGTGTGTCAAGATGAGGTCTTGAGATATAAAGTTGCCTGTTGCCCCTGAGTCTATCATAGCCCTTGTAGATAACACCTGTTGTTTGAAATGGAGTTGAATAGGGATTAACAGGTGTGTGAAACTCTGAGAAAGCACCATCGACACATCTTTGTTGTCTAGGGGAGAAGTTGTAGTCTCAGTTGAAGTTGTGCCTGGTGGGGATTTTTCAAGTTTTTCAGGAATAGCAGCTGTGACTGTGTCTGAGGCTGCTATATGTTTTGAATCAGCACTCCCCCGTGCTGAATAGCACTCCTGAATTCTGTGCCCCCCTTTGCCACAGTATAAACAAAGGTTGTTGTCCATTCTGTGTTTTCTTTCTTGAGGAGTAAGTTGTATGTATCTTTGTATAGCTATAACTTGGATATCAGAAAGTATTTTGTTGTTACCTCCGCGAGGCTTCGGTGGCTTGTTGGGAGGTCGTCGCGGAGGAGTGCGTCGCATACAGAATGTAACCGGGTTTACACGGTAGATCCGAGCTGCTACGGCAATAGTCTCCGTTGGGTTATCATTTAGAAAGTCAATGGCATTTTGAAGAGCTTCATTTCTAGCTATATCAATTGGCATCGTTGTGTTTCGTTGTTCCGTTGTCTTCGTTGTCGCGTTCGACGCGTTCCAATTGGCCAAATTCACGTGATTAGGCGTTCAGTTCGTGTCCCAATTAGTGACGACATTATCAAATCACAGGTCGGGCAACAATGATCAACTTCAGCTTTCCAATCGACGCCTCTTCACATTAGCATCACAGTCAGCTCATTCAATGCTCGACACTCTTTCCATTTTACCAGAGCTGGCGGTGAAGTGCTTCAACGCAACCCTGATTTAACCTGATTCTCCGGGGCACCCACAGCTGCCTCCACCCGGAAGATGTCTTACACCACCAATTCAGAGCCAGCTCAAAGCACCAAAGCCTCCATGCAGGCAAGCGCTGGAGCTGCCTCAATAGGAAATATGAGAGATTTTATGGCGTCTTACACGTCCTTCACCCAAGCAAGCGCTAGAGGCACCTCCACAGGAAGTGTGAGAGGTTTCCCAGGGGCCGATACGCTCGGCCCTACAGTATCCAATGCGATCCCTATTGACGATAATCCTGGTCCGACTTCTGTCTTTCCCCAGGGCGTGACGTCCAAGAAGCGGAAGCGGGGGACCATCAGCGAACCGGTGGTCATAAATATCTCTGATGACTCCGATGACGCAAATTCCGTGGCCCGGACCAATTCGCTGACATCCATGCGAAAGTCTATGGCAAAGCATCTAAGTAAAGCACCGAAGCGGAAGCGGAAGCCCAATCCTGGGGGGGAGAGCCGTGTCGAAAGTTCCGTGAGAGGGCGCCTTGTAAGTTCCAGGACAGATTGGACCGTGCCATATCCCAGCCAATGTTCCTCATTGATCGAGAGATAAAATTGAATAGCGATGGAACGCATGAAGTGGAGAAGTTTGATATGGCTGGGTCGACTGGGAATCTATATGAAGTTACGATTGACAAGAAGCCAAAATGCACATGCATGGATGCGAGAATCATCTTTTGAGTAGATACGCAAGGCTCACTCACAAGGCGACTTGGGGCTAACGAGTGCTTAGGTTCTCGTCAATGTTCTGAAAGCTCCAGAGCATCTTCAATACCAACAGACTCTGCTTTCTACAGAACTCAAACAGATATTCGAACACGCCCCTGTTACGCCCCAGTCTTCCAATGGCTCCGAAGATACATCACACCTGGGAAAGCGAAAGCCGATCGAGGGTGACTGTCCAATGTGTGTCATAGAATTCAAGCCCAGCGATGAAATCCTGTGGTGCAAAGCTGCATGCGGGAACAATATCCACAAGACCTGCTTTGACCAGTGGGCGAAGAGCAAGCCTGGGCCGGTTAAATGCGTATACTGTCGTACCGTTTGGAAGGAGGATGAGGATGCCACTAAAAAGATTGGCAAACATCGAGCGAAGAACAAAGAGGGATACGTCAACGTTGCGCGCCAGCTTGGGTTGAGCGGCGTGCGGGATCATAGCAGCTATCATCAACCATGGTTCGACGATGAGAGATATGGGGGGTTTGGAGGATTCTACTGAACTGGGTTACTGTGCGGGAGATGGAGTAGCCGGGATATTTTTATCGAGGGGTTGCGATGGTCAACAAGCCAGCGTCGACTGGACTTGCTATTTGATGAGGGGATGGGGTTTGTCCATAACAGGGTGCTGGGGAGATGTTTGGCATTACACTATCAACGTGTAATGCCAAACATCTTCGTTTGCAGAGGTGCATAACATTGATTCTGGCGTTTGTCAGGTGGCATCCTTCACGACGAGGAGGACTGGCCTTTGCTGCATACTATACCCATTTGCTTTTACTCTTGCTGTGTCTTACTGACCGCCACTTGCTTCTTTAACGAGGCAACTAATTATAGGAACCGATATCATAGTTATGGAAATCAAAACTGAGCATTAATTGGGCCATGTTGCAGAGTTATACTAGTGTCTTACTGCTTTCGTGGGCTTTCCTTGAGCATCACGTACGAATAGCTATCAGCTGTGTTGGTTCTCAGACGAAGCTTCCTATTTGAGAGTGATTAATATGCAAGAACCAATATTGTGTTGCTGTGATTGAGTCGTGGTACAGACAGGGTGCAGAATTCTACGAATGAGAGATGATAGCGATGCATTGTTCTCTCAGTAGTTTCACCCCCTTGCTTCGCCAGCTGCACACAAGCTGCAGCCTCTTATGATCCTCGTGGACCTCCTTCATTTAAGTTGGACGTTAGCGGCCCTTCCCTTAGTATTGTCCGGTGCCTTACGATTGTTATCCCGCCAAGACATCCGTTCTTACTATTGTTCTTCACCGTCGGTTCGGGCTTCGAACCATTCCACTGGTTCCACCACGTCCGACCTCGAGACTTCCAAAGGGGCTCAAATTTCTTCTAGAAGACTTAAAAACGTCGTCATGTCCCTCATCGGAACTCCTTCCTCAAATTCATCCGTCGGAGCTTTCTTGGCTCCGCAACCTCCGATACGTCCATCATGAAGTTGTTGTTTACTCTCGCGTCTATCGCGCTACTTGCCGTGGGGGCGGCTGGGCTGCCGCCTGTCATTAACGCTGGTAATGCAGCTGACCGTAAGTGACACCCACAAATTCCTGAAATAAGAAAATAAATAATCAGCCGCTGACTTGTACGTAGAATACTTGGTGAAGTCTCTGCCTAAAGTCAACTTCAAAATTCCAAAATCATGGGCTGGCAGTCTGAAGGTCGGTTCAGGTTTCGGCACCAACTCCCTTTTTTTCTGGCTATGGGAGGCCGAGACCCAGCAGGGCAAGAATGACCTCATTATCTGGTTTAATGGAGGCCCAGCGTGCAGCTCTTTGCTTGGACTCTTCAAAATTCATGGCCCGGTCACGTTTCCCAGGACGGCCACAAAGCCGCAGCGCAACCCCTATTCGTGGACCAGAGCGGCAAATGTCGTGTACGTCGACCAGCCCATTGGGACAGGCTTTAGTTCTGGCACATCTAACAACACGGATAATGAACACAATACTGCTGCTGTTGTGAAATGGCTTGACTCCTTCTTCAATGTATTCCCGGAGATGCGGTCCAAGAAGATCCATCTGATGGGTGAGAGCTACGCGGGCATATTTCTCCCATATATCGCCGAGGAGATCCAGGCGCAGAAGTCGACTTTGAAGGCATATCTCTCCTCTCTCAGTCTGGGAGATGCGTTATGGGGAAACTGGGCAGCGATGAACAACGTAGCCGCATTCGCATACATTGACGCACACCGATCGAACTTCGGAACCAATATGTAAGCCCCAACCCCCCTCCTTTTACACACCCACAATCCTAACAGTAGCAGTGCCTCCAACATGTATGATGTGCTCAAACAAGGCGATAAAGACTGCGGCTTCCCCGCTGTACGCGCCCAAATCAAATATCCCCCCTCCGGCCCCATCCGCATCCCTGGCAACCCATCTGGCGGGAACTTCAAACGCGACTTTCCCGTACCGCCCGGCTACATTCCTGATAACTGCGACTTCGGTGGCGGCGGCACCGACACCCCCGAGCGCCTTGCCTACATCATGGACCACACTGGTAATGACTGCTACGGCGTCTGCGACCCTTCTGACGCAGCATACAACTACTATTCCTCTCCCACCTTAAACCGCGACTTCTTAGCCTACAACATCAACGAGCACGGCTACGCTGGCCTCTACTGCGACGGTTCTTATATCGCCTACCTCAACCGTGCCGACGTCCAAGCCGCCATCCACGCTCCCCGCATTGACTTCAGCGCCTGCAACGGTGTCCTCTCCCGCACGCTCACCACAAACGACAGAAAATATCACCCCCAGCCAGCCGCCTACACCATCGTCCCCAACCTCATCTCCCAAGGTGTCAAGGTCCACATCTTCAACGGCGTCCTCGACTACGTGATACCGCACATAGGCCAGGAACTAGTACTCCAGAACACGACCTGGGCCGGGTCCCAAGGCTTCTCGCGCCCTCCGACCAGCGACGTGTTGCGCAATTCCAAGGGACAACAAGTCAGCCAAGGGCGCGAGGAGAGGGGGCTGAGTTACTATACTTTTCACAATGCCGGACATCGTGTTGCGCAAGATGAGCCGGAGGGGGCGCTGCAGTGGTTGATGAAGGTTGTTGTTAAGGGGTCGAACGTCGGCCTGATCGTAGGGATTGGTGGGGTTTACGGAGGGGAGGGGTGGTAACTTGGTTATTGATGTTGTTGCATACTGTCATTTTCGTCTCTAAGTCTTTCTAAATATGGTAAGGATGCTATCCATTTAATCTTCAATAGTGATTGTTGAGCAATCACCACAGTAGTTTGGCAAAACACGAAGCTTCAGATTTCATGTTCTCAGTTCAAGTCCTATCTCCAAATCCTCACTATCCTCCCCGTCCTCTATCCCGCTCCATCTGCACTGCTCGTGTCGCCCAATAAAGGGCTACCTACATAATAGATAGACCCAGGACGGTTTGCTGCGAATCATGGTCCAGCTAAGGCGATGACACTAGGGAGTAGATTCATTGGCCAATCTTTCCAGGGGAGTAGATTCATTGGCCAATCTTGTTTTCTACACGAACACTACTTTCCACGTCTGGCTTGAAGGCGGATTAGACTGAACCCCAAGAAAGCAAAGGTCCGCGAACGGCCCTCCGACTCAACCACCCGGAATGGAAGCGGGAAGAATGGGGGGCGGATCGGTTGGCGGTGGTGACAGTTAGAGGTGGTGACACCAGGAGCGCTCTTCGGCGCTACGTATAGAAACAACTCAATGTCTTCCCTAACCCCCTCTAGAATACTCTCTGGTCCCAGTGGTGACTATTCTGCTGCCGCTTCTGCTCGGAAAATCCCGACAGATGGATATCACGGGCGGGTAGAACCTATATAAATGTATATTTGCTAATATCTTCTCATCTTCATATACAGTCCCTCATACTTCTAAGTACCACGCATAGATCACGAGTATCCAACATTCCTCTACACCGCAAACCCCCCACTATTCTTCTGCCTCGGCTCCGCCGCCGCCTCAAACGTCCCATTCTCCAACCTCCTAATCCCCTGCATCTTACTAAGCAATTCGCTCGTCCACGTAATATTATGCCCCCTCTCACGCATATACGCCGTCGTAGCATTATCATACCCCACCTCGAAACGCACCTGCGCCGGCAGCAGCTGGTCATGCAACCTCGGCTGCGCCAGCGCCTCAGGCATCGTCATACCGTGATCGAGGACATGCCAGAGCGCCTGAATGGTAGCGGTGATGATGCGGGAGCCGCCCGCGGCGCCGGTGACGACGTAGAGGCTGCCGTCGGCCTTCTCGACGATGATGGGGGTGATGGAGGAGAGGGGGCGTTTGCCGGGGCGGATGAAGTTGTTGCGGGAGGGGACGAAGCCGAATTCGTTGGAGACGCCGGGGATGGAGAAGTCGTTCATTTCGTTGTTCATGATGATGCCGGTTTCGGGGACGCAGAGCCGGCTGCCGAAGGATAGGTTTATGGTTGTGGTGAGCGTGATGGATAGGCCTAATGAGTCGGTCGTCACGATGTGTGATGTTCCGTGGCTGTCGGGGTTGGAGAGGAGTTTCGGGTTGTAGTCGGTGGGGTCTAGAGTGTGATTGTCTGATATCCTGTGCCTAGTCGCGTGGGCGTTTGATGTGTTCAGCATTTGGGCTTGGAAATCGGCTATGCCTTCCACAAAGTCTGGGTCGCCGAGTTCGTTGCGGCTACCGTATGAGAACTTGATAGCTTCGTCTAGTCTGTGGGTGTTCAGCTTCAAATTATCGGGGTCACTCATGTTATACCCTTCAATAATTTTAAAGGTATTCAGCGCCACTGCTCCACTGCTCGGGGCACCAGTCGAGAACATCTTATATCCTCTATAGTCTATGCTGACAGGTTCGCGCGAGATAATATCATATTGTGACATATCATCTAGGGTCATGGAGCCATTTGCGAGTTGGACAGCCCGGATAGTGGCCTCCGCAATAGGTCCATCGTAGAAAGCACTTGCCCCTTGCTGAGCAATCGTTCGTAGGGTCTTGCCAAACCGTTTCCGTGTCATTATTTCGCCTGGTTGGAGGAGTGTGCCATTTGGAGCAAAATCTATTGCCCAGCTGGGATCTTCTGTGAGAAAATGCTGTCCTTTCTTGACCGTACTGGTCATGAATCCAAAAAGATCTTCGGTCACTATTAAAAAGTTAGCATATTATTTCCCAGTCCTAGTCATACTAAAGTCAAAGACATGCTATGCCTCCGAAGGGTTGCGTTTGCGGTCTGTACTCTTACGTACCTGGAAACCCTCTCTCTGCAACCTCGGCTGCAGGCATTACAACCATTGCCCACGGTAGTTTCTGTGCAACGTTAGCTCGCATTCTACTCGTCCCGTTACTATGAGACATTACTTACCCCATACTTCTTATGTACATATTCGAAGCCCTTTAGTTCGCCTGGAACCCCGCTTGCATCCCCGCCAACTATGCTGCCGATCGTGAAATTGGCGTACATATCCTCATATGCAGCAGCCGGCGCCGTTTCCCGGAAATCAACGTCCTCATACTCGCCCGTCTCGCTGCGCACGAGCATAAAACCGCCGCCACCGATGCCGCTGTGATACATTCCGATAACTCCCACACATAACGTCGTGCCAACTGCGGCGTCTGCAGCATTGCCCTTAAAAGATAATTAGCATGACTAGAAACCCTGCAACCAAGATGAGAACTCACGCCGCGCCTTATGAGATCTATTCCAATACTGCTACATATCGAGCTCTCACTCGCCACCGCCCCTCTTGAACCATGTCGGGATAGGAAGATGCCGGCTTCAACGCTCGGCGAAGGGAAGAGCGCGAGCAAGGATAGAAGCGCGAAGCGCCATCGTCGATTGCTGGATCGGCCGGGATCTTGGTCGAAGACACGTCAGAATTGTGTTTTGTTCCAGGTTGTTTGAGGGGGAATTTGTGCGATGTGAGCGCTACAGGGGGGTTGGATGGCGTGCGAGAAACACAGGAATGGCAAACTCACACCCATGCATATTAAAGAACTGTTATAGAACAATGGACTCTTCGGTACTCCAGTTTATCGTGAGGGACTTGATAACGCCAGCGAGAGATGTCCTTTGGAGATGTGTTTGAGGGGAACACGACGACACTTCCTCTACTATGTACAGTATATATTATGGGCAAAAGTTTTATATACCCGGTAAGTTCATAAATAAGTTTTATATACCATGGTGATTCTTACTAAGCAGGAAACCACTCAACGCGCTCGGCGCGTTGCCTCCCTCCCTCGCGTTGCCTCCCTCGCCGTTGCTCCCCCTCGCCGTCACTCCTCGCTGTCCCAGCTGACTCGCTAGCCGCTGCCCTCACTGAGGCACTCGACGACTCTTCGGAAGCCCTCGTCGCGAGGCATCGGAAGTCCTGAGCTCGGCTCAGGCCCACGAGGATGGCTTCTCTTGGCGAGCTGACCGTTCCTATGAAACGGTCAGCTCTACCTCGACCTAGACGCCTGGTCGAGAGCCCTTAACGACTGGGCCGAATGAGGCCGTCGAAAGGAGCGACAGCGAGGGGCCGACGGCGAGGGGGCTACGGGGGGCTACGGGGGGGGGGGATTGGGGGGTTTTTACTGGTCGCAGGGGGTTTCATATTATGTAGGGTATATAAAACTTATCACGTCAAATGCAGGGTATATAAAACTTTTGCCCATATATTATTTCCCCTCTCAAGCTCTCAAGACATAACTAGCCGTTTGTTCCTGGCGTTGCTTTGGAGATAAAGCCCTTGTACCTCGTGACTGTATTTACAGCACTAACTGTACTCCGTACCTGATCCTGATAAGATAAGGTTCAGGTCAATTAACGCGGACTCACGTGAATCCGTCGCGTGCCCTGTCACTGGTACGAAAGACGACCTCGTTCTTGTTGAAAGAGACATCACGGACATTTTTCGAGTAGTACTGCACTCCAAGCAGTCTATTATCAACTGGGCAGAGTAATACATGTATCACTTACAATGAGATGCCAATGACCGCAACGGCGCAGCCACCGCTGAAGAGAAACGATGGCAGGATCATTATCCACTTTGTAAGGGCTTCCCGACCAGGCAGGCTGACAAAAGTTGAATCTGACAAATTTCCAGGACTACGACTGCTTCTACGCGTCCGTTTTCGAAGTCGAGAATCCCGCCCTAAAAAGTGTCCCGCTCGGTGTGCAGCAGAAGCAGATTATTGTGACCTGCAACTACGAAGCTCGCCGACGAGGACTCCACAAACTGCAGCTCGTTTCGGAGGCGAAGAAAAAATGCCCGCACATGGTGATTGTGCTCGGCGAGCAGCTGGATCGCTTTCGGGATGCCTCGAAAATGCTCTACAAGTTCTTGGAGTCCTTCACCTGGAACAACAAGGTTGAGAAGCTTGGCTTCGATGAGGTCTTCCTCGACGTCACCGACATTGTAGCATACAACCAGTCACTGCTGAACCCGAACGACCTCAGCCACGCATTCTTCAACCTGTCCCGCGATGACCCGACGATTGGTTTTTCCTTCGATGCGTCTCGCACTGCTGGCCATGAATATCCCGGCCTCTCCGAAGCTTCCGCTGAAATCTCAGCGAAAGATCAAGAGCTCCTCATACAGCTGAGAATAGGTTCACATCTGGCGCAGCATCTTCGGCATCGGCTAGAGGAAGACAAGGGGTATACTTCAACAGTTGGAATTTCGACCTCGAAATTGCTGGCTAAGCTGGCCGGCAACTTGCATAAACCCAAGGCACAGACAACATTGATGCCTCCATACGAAAGTACTTCCCATGAGGATCCGACAGAACAAACTAGCACTATTATAGCATTTTTGGACAGCCACGATATCGGAAAAATCCCTGGGGTTGGGTTCAAGATGTCGCAGAAGATAAGCGATCATGTTCTTGCACGAAAAGTCGACTTGAAAGATGAGACCGACTCTCGCGTAGTGAAGGACTCTGTTTCGGTTCGCGACGTCCGCCTCTTTCCGGGCATGGGGCCAGAGCTTCTAGACGAGATTCTAGGGGGGTTAGGTGCTGAACGTGGCATTGGCGCGAAGGCATGGGCACTGATAAACGGCATCGATGAATCAGAAGTCCAGACACTCAAGCCAGTTCCGACCCAGATATCTATTGAAGACAGTTATAGAGGTATCAGTACCCTCCCTGAAGTACGGAAGGAGCTACGGGCCCTCGCTACTAGTCTCATCAACAGAATGCATACAGACCTTCTGGAATCTGACGAAGACAACCCTGGGAAGAAACGATGGTTGGCGCATCCTAAGACGATCCGAATCTCAACCCGTCCCCAACTTCCGCGGAATCCAGACGGGACTCGGCCGAGGGGTTTCAACCGGATTTCCCGTTCTTGCCCTCTCCCAAACTTCATTTTTAGTTTGCGGGAGGGTGTGGACGCGTTAGTTGAAAAGCTTGTGGTGGAAACTCTAATCCCTCTGTTTCACCGCCTCCACGACGGTAAGGGTTGGAGCTTAAACCTTATCAACATTTGCGTCGCAAACATGGTAGAGACGGCTAGCGAGACCGTCAAAGGTCGAGGGCGCGATATTAGCCGCATGTTTAAGCACCAAGAAGCAGTGCTAAAGGAGTGGAAGGTCGAGGATAAAGACGTGCCGCCCGATTGGGTTGCTGAACACCACGGAACTAATGATGGTGGTAGGTCACACGCTCTCTTTAGAGCCGAGCCAAGTGCTGGCAATGACGCTATCATGAAGGGCGCTACGGGCTCTGAGGATGTAATACCAATGACGCAGGATGCTGTCGACGATGAGACTCTCTACATGAACGAAGAATCAGACTCGGGCAAGTGCTCGATCTGCAACGCAATTATGCCAGCTTTTGCGATGGCCGCTCATGAGCGATATCACGAATTTGAGAATTTGAGCGAATAAAAAGTTACCCCACGTTCGATCGATTTGACTCCGTTGAGTTGGGCTGGGGTAACTCAACTCGTTAGCTCCCCACGGGGTGTGCCAATGAAGCTAAAATATTATCATACGATAGTTAGAGCAACGATTAGAACACACCAACACCTAGTCCATTTCAAAATACTTCCGTATATCTCTCGCACCATGCCCTCTTTCTCTTGTTTTGTCTGCATGACAGGCTCATCATACCAATCTCATCAAAAATTGTCCTCATAGATACAAATCCCATATATTCGATTTATAACATCACCCCATCTGGCGAACCTTCACAAAGCTTGAGCCGTGATCTCTCGAGATCATCGGCAAACGAGCAAGTCACCAAGCAAACAAAACATCCAACCCCGGAGCCACCACACACATCACATCCAACCTACCTTAATGCCTCCCACAAACCTCCTCCCCCTCCCCTACCTCCTAGCTGTCCAACTACTCAGCCGCGACATGCCGGACGACACCACCGGCGAAGTCCCCAACATTGAGCCCGAACCCGTGCCGCCGTACAAATATCCCTCATGGGCCTTCGGCATCGGCACCCTCGTCGTCTTTGTCATATGCATCTTCTTTGCATTCACCTGCGCCGGCATCAATCGCCGCCTCAACCGCAAGGCGCTGCTGCGAGCTGAGTTTCCGTGTCTTGGGGCTAATATGGGCCCCGTCTCCTGTTTGGCTACGAGTTCGTCCAATGCGGCCGCGGCGTTCGTGATGCCAGGGCATGCGGAGGAGGTTAGGACGTTATCACCGATGGAGGAGCAGAAGAAAGTAGTTGATTTGAAGGTGGTGAAGATTAATATGAAAAATCTCAAGATGCCAGCTGCGCTGCCAAAGGTGTTTAGGAAGTTGGGGAGGAAGAGGGAGAGGGGGGAGGTTGTCGCTGATGATGACGTGGAGCTTATACAGTTAAGCTCGGTGAAGGGGAAGAGCGGGCTGGTCCCAAAGGGAGGGAGGTGGACATTGGATAAACAGGGAACTTGGGTTTGGGAGGAGGGGGGAGGGAAGAACGCTGGTTTGACGGGAAAGGGGGATCATATGCTTGTGGAAGCGTATGCGGGGAGGGATGACGAGGATAGTATTGGGTTTGTGACAACGGAGGAGAGGTTTGAAAATGTTGATACGAAATAGGGGTTTATTGTTTGATATTTTGCTTGGATGCTTTAGATGGTATATTTGGAAATAGAGCAATGCGAAAGCGGACATGTATGAAAGGCAAAAGACAAGACAGACTTTGATAGGTTTTGGTATAGCAAATCTTACGATGCGAATTGATACTTGTATTATTTGGTGAAGAAAGCTACTATGTCGGCGCAATCCCCTAAGTGAGATAACATATATATAACGAGAATATAGTAGTAAATAAATAAAAAGATAATCGTCCGTCTCGTTGATGTCGTTGATAACGGTCGTGTCTCATTGGAGACTCGGCGGAATTGAGCCCACGCTCACGCTAATCCACTTATAGTTAACCTCTTTTCGCTTACTTTTATCGGCCCACACACAACAACAATATACTCAATATTTTCGATTGCGGCGGACTTGGACTTCTTCCTCCAGCTCTTCAATCGACAACAACGACAATCGCCATGTCTCACAGAAAGTTCGAAGGTACGCATTTCAATCTTTCCTGGTATTGGGACGCCTTATATCGAAGTCGCGGGCTCTTTCGACCTGGAAAGCGCAGCCGCGACATATGATTGCATCTCGTGCCCCTTGACATTCATTCAAGAAGCAGTTCCTGACAATATCTACAGCGCCCCGCCACGGTTCTCTGGCATACCTTCCTCGCAAGAGGGCCGCCCGTCACCGCGGAAAGGTCAAGTCGTGAGTTCTCCCTGTCCCAGATAACATATCGGCGGCCTTTGGTCGTCGAAGGAACGGGTTCAAGTCTTTTGAAGGATCTGAACTGACTTTTGCGGTTCTGTCCAGGTTCCCCAAGGATGACGCAAAGAAGCCAGTCCACCTTACTGCCACTATGGGCTACAAGGCTGGTATGACTACCATCGTCCGCGACCTCGACCGTCCCGGCGCGAAGTCTCACAAGAAGGAGGTTGTTGAGGCTGTCACTGTCATTGAGACACCACCAGTACGAGCAACGCAGCCCGCTTGGCTTTGTGCCTATGGCTAACATCTCTATAGATGATCGTTGTTGGTCTTGTTGGCTACATTGAGACTCCCCGTGGTCTCCGATCCCTCACCACCGTCTGGGCCGAGCATCTGTCCGACGACCTGAAGCGCCGCTTCTACAAGAACTGGTACAAGTCCAAGAAGAAGGCCTTCACCAAGTACGCCAAGAAGCACTCCGAGGCTTCCGGCTCCTCCATCACCCGCGAGCTCGAGCGCATCAAGAAGTACTGCACCGTCGTCCGTGTCCTCGCCCACACCCAGATCCGCAAGACCCCGCTCAAGCAAAAGAAGGCCCACCTTATGGAGGTCCAGATCAACGGTGGCTCTGTCGCCGAGAAGGTCGAGTTCGCATCTGGTCTCTTCGAGAAGCCAGTCGAGGTCGCCTCCATCTTCGAGCAGGATGAGATGATTGACGTTATCGCCGTCACCAAGGGTAAGGGTTTCTCCGGTGTCACCAGCCGTTGGGGAACCAAGAAGCTCCCCAGAAAGACGCACAAGGGTCTCCGTAAGGTCGCCTGTATCGGTGCCTGGCATCCGTCGCACGTCCAATGGACTGTTGCCCGTGCCGGTCAAGATGGATACCATCACCGTACCTCGTGCAACCACAAGGTTTACCGTGTTGGTTCCGGAACTGACGAGGGTAACGCCTCGACTGAGTTCGATGTCTCCAAGAAGACCATCACCCCGTAAGTTCCCACCGAAGGCTTCTATGTGTAATTCAACACAAACTAACAACATCGCAGTATGGGTGGTTTCGTCCGCTACGGTGAGGTCAAGAACGACTTCGTCATGGTCAAGGGCTCCGTCCCCGGTGTTAAGAAGCGTGTCATGACCCTCCGCAAGTCCATGTGGACCCACACCTCGCGCAAGGCCCTCGAGAAGGTCGACCTCAAGTGGATCGACACCTCGTCCAAGTTCGGCCACGGTGCTTACCAGACCCCCGCCGAGAAGCGTGCCTTCCTCGGTACCCTCAAGAAGGATCTCGTGCAGCAGTCGTAAGCCTGTCGCTCATGTTGTCGTCTGTTGTCGCGCTGGTTGGTGTACTAAGGGAAAATCGTTTTTTTTTTTCTGGGCGGGGAGCGGGAGGTTTTCGGGGCATCATGTGTTTGCCGTAACGGTGTGCAAATCGATATCCTCGCGTGGTGCTTAGCTAGACATGAAAACACATGCTAGATGAGCATATCACAAAAATGCTTCCGATTCCCCTCATGTGGATGCGCTGTGCCTTCTAAAAATCCCATCGTGAATCTCGAAAATCCAAATCTTCAAATCTCTGTAAAAAAAACCTCCTCCCGCACCCGGTCACGTGCCACCCATCGTGAGCCCCATCACTCAATCGCCGCATCCGCCAAGACACACAACCAACCTGCGTCATACCCCACCCACCCCACACCGCCCCCAGCGCAACACAAACCCGTCATCCTCTCCCTCTTCCACACCGTCCGCCCGCAACCGCAGCTCACAACCACCAGTCCAAGAAACAGACGAGCTCGATATCCTCCCTCGACGCATCTCCCACATCCGCTCCACCTCAGGCACAATCGCGGGCGCACGCCTCCCCCCCCGCGTCTTCGCAGCGCTGTCATCGCGTTCACGGACTACCGCTCCAGCAGTAGCAGCTTCAATACCAGCACAGGCACCCCCAGCAGCTCGCGCGCCGCCGCGGCAGCAGAAACGAGGAATGGTAGACGACGCATCGTACCTCTCCTTCCTGGAGAAGGCGAATGCACCTTTAGGAGGAGGGGGCAGCGAGGCGCAGGCCAGTGGATCGGGGAAGAAGGGGTTTAAGACTGTGGATGAGGGGGCGAAGGTGCCGGGGGTGATTCGGAAGGCGATTGAGGGGGTGGTGTATGTTAGTGAGGCGGATGAGGGGTTTGAGGGGGTGAGCTTGGGGACGGGGGGGAGGGGGATGGTTGATGGTGGTATATCTCTCTCATTTCATTGCCTCCAAGTCCCCTCTACTTTCTGTATTTTGTTTCTTATCTTACCTCTGTTGTTTTCTCACCACGCATATGAAAGAGAACGGCGTGCTAACACCCCGCATAGAATCCTTCGCGGACCTAATCGGCTCCCCCGCCGGCTGCGAAATCGAAATCCTAGATATCAGCCAGTGGGACGAGAGGGGCGAGTACAAGCCCATCGTCGACGCCATCCGCGACGCCGCCAGCGGCGGAGACGTGCGCGTCTACCGCGTCCCCCGCGGCGCGACGAGGGTCGAGTACTGGGTTGTTGGCGTGGAGGAGGGGGAGGAGGGGAGGTTGGTGGGGGCGAAGGCGTTGAGTGTCGAGAGTTAGTCGGCGTCGAGGTATTGGATGGGAATGGGCAAATCGTGTGCGGGTAGGCGTGATTGGGGGGATGGGCTGGGAATGGGGGGTTTGGGTTAGTTGGGAAGTGTGTGCGTTTTGTAGGAGGGGGGGATAGAAGGTGCTTCCAATTGCATGAGAAACCCAGATAGCTGGCTTTGCTTTCTGGGTTTCTCATGCGATTGGAACTGCTCTATCTATGCCGTTGCTTTCGTTGTGGTCGATCGTGACGAGGCCTCGAATAGTTATAACAACTTTGAAGTTAAAAGGTCACTACTGGTTTAGGGTTTCTGCACGATGGTAATGGGGTTATAATGTCACGACGATATACTTTATCATGACTACCAATTGAATCTTGGACTTGGATACTGTAATGGTGAGACCTACCTGCATGGGCATCGTGGAACTCTTCGATCAGCCACTAAGGATCCGACTCAAAACACCTTCATGCGCATTAGACACCATAATAGAGGTGAGATTACGCAAGCCAATCCCACAGACCTATCGACGACGCGAGCGCCAAACACTATCCTTATCATACCCACGCCTCTGTTGGAAAAGCCCTCGAAGCTCTACTAAGCCCCAGGAATCCCTCCAGCCAAAGCAACGACATGATAAGGCCAGTCCATGCCGCCCCCATCTCCGACGTAAAAAATCCGCGAATCAGCTCGTCGTTTTTGATTCATATTCATAACTTTTCTCCCTGGCCTATGCAATCCTATATTCCCCATCTATCCCCCCCCCCAAAAAAACCATCTAATAATCAACCCCCCGACTCAGCACCTCCTTACAATTCGGCCTCAACAAAAACGTATGCTCAAACTGCGCCGTATACGAGCCCTTCTTGTCGACCAGCGGCGGGTACGCCTCCACGATGCCCTGGGAGACGAGGTTGTTCAGCCCGAGGAGGTACTTGTCCTGCCCCAGGCGGTCGAGGTAGCGCCGGCAGAAGGGGAGGGTGCCGAAGGACTTGTTGATTACTTTGAGGAGGTTCTTGGCGGATGTGAGGCGTAGGTCGACGTGTGGTGCGTCGGCGGCTTTGGCATAGTGCGAGCACTCAAGCTGGGGGGGTTATTAGTATAAAGAACTCCGTGACGGGAACGGGGAAAGGCTGGAATGAAAAGAGGGAAGAAAAGGGGCAAAACTCACATCATCCCTCACATACCCCACTCCCGTACTCCCAAACGTCTCAATCGCAAACACCTCCCCCTCCTCCATCTTGGTCGTATCATTATTCTTCACAATCGGCACGCTCTTCCCCCCATGAATCTTCCACTGCCCGATATTATGCCCATTCAGATTGCGAATACACTTCACCGGGTGCGTCTCCTTCCCAATCGTCACCTCATAACTCTCCATCACCTCCTGGATCTGCTCTCCAATATCGCACATGCGGACATCAATCCCCGCCGCCGCAACGCCCGTGTTCGTCGCAGCCCTAACCGCCTCGAGGAGCGGGTCGTAGACGGGGTCCCAGCTCATCGTAAACGCGGAATCGACGATACGGCCGTTGATGTGGACGCCGAAATCAACACACATGACATCCTCCTGCTTAACGACCGTCTTGTTCCCCGCATTAGGACTATAATGCGCAGCGATATGATTAATATTCAACCCCGTCGGAAACGCCACCCCTCCCGCGATATTATCCCCATCCTCCAACCCCTGATGCCCCGTCAACGCCCTCACACTCCCCTCAATCCCCTCCGCAATCTCAGTAAGTCCCATCCCCGGCTTAATCCAGCCCTGCGCCCACTGCCGCACCTGTCTATGCACCTCCGCCCCGCGCCGGAAGTCGCTGAGGTATGTCATATCCAGGCGGTCGAGGTGGCGCTTCTCTTCGCTCGTGGTGCGGAAGCTGTTGTCGTCGCGGTAGGGGCTCTCTTCGCCGACGGGGTAGTCGCCGGAGGGGAAGAGCGTGGTGAGGGGGACGCTGGGGGGGGAGGTTTGGGCGGTGGGGGTTTTGGTCTTCTTCTTGGGCTTTCGCTTGCGCTTCTTTTTGGCGGCGGTGGGAGCGGATCCGTCGGCTGCGGGGGCCTCATCTTCGTCATCGGAGTCTTCTGCTTCGGGTTTTGTGGCGGGGGGTGCTGCTGGGGTAGCAGCTTCGCCCTGGTTTTCGCTCACTGTGTGCTGGTCAGCTTGGAGGTCAAGCGCTTGTTGGTGGGGGAGTTGGACGAACACGCGAGCTTCGCCATGGCGTCTTCTGCCTGGGTGGCCATTTTAATGTACGTCTCAGACCCTTTCTGTAGCCAGTAGGGCTTATTTGTAGGTTCGTCCGCTGTGTTCTGCTTTAGTCTAGTCGTCTGTTCTCAAACTAGCGGCCGCGTCCTACGTTGGATAAGGACGGGTTGGTACACGTGATATCCGCCTGACCTTGGTAGTAAAAGGAACGAAACCACGAGGTGAAAATCAACATGTTACGACGCAAACATGTTACGACACAAATACGACGACGGTACACGGAAGAATAAGAGCACAATAGTATTTCATTCTCCAATTGCTCCACCCAACCCCCAAGAAACAAGTAAAAACTAATACACCACCCCACCCCACCCCACCCATCCTCCATCCGTCTTTTGCATCAAAAAATCCAACTCAGAATCAAATATCCCTATTCGCTTTCTACCTTAGCCTAGCCTATCATACCATGACCCCCCTATCCCCCAAATTCCCCCTCCTATCCCCCCTTCCCAGAAGTTGACCCGCGCTAAACAAAGAAAAGGGTTCTCTCATCAAGAATGTAATTGTATGCCGTAAAACAACCTCCCTCCTCTTATCCTCCTCATAACCCCCCACTGGCTACTACATAATCCTCACGCGGTCCCCTCAACCTTAGTAGCCGCCTGCTTCGGCATGCCATTCTGTCCATTCGCCAAAAAACCCGCACCCGCTCCATTCGCCCTCTCGGGAGACTCCGTCTTCCCCTCCACCGCGGGCGCACCACCCGCCGACCCCGGTGCCGAAGGCGGTGCTCCATTCGCGCTAGGCGCCTTCTTCTCCTCCTCCCCTTCATCATCATAATTCTCATCTACATCCATCTTCCTCGCCGCGCGCTCCTCCGCTACCGCCGGCGCCGCAACAGGCGTCGGCGGGCTAGCCTGCTGCGGCTGTGGTGGCTGCGGCTGGGCTTGCGCTGGTGGTGGTGGGGGCGGAGGAAGCTGTTGCGGGCTCCTGCGTTCCGCATGGACGTCAACCATTGGGTAATCCTTGCTCACCGATGGTGGGGGCGGGAGGGACTCCCTTGTTGGCGGAGCAGCGGGCTGCATAGGCGGCAACTGCGTAGTCGTCGGCACCGAGTGCGTCAGCGGGTGATGCGCCGCCTCGCTCGGGTGGTAATTCTCATTCGCCCTGCGCTGGTCCTCGCGACGCGTCTCGGAGGAGTTGCGGCGGTAGGGCTCGCGCGGCGGGGTGGACGGACGGCGGTGGTGCACGTCGTTCATGTGTGCGCGGGTCTCTTCTGAGGCGGGCTTCTTCTGCACTGGTGGCAGCTCGTCTTCCCATTCGCGGACGCGTTTGGGGCCTACAGGGGGGGGACCCTCGTCCCTACGCTCGGCGGCTGCGGCTTCGGCGGCGGCGAGCGCAGAGGCGGGCGCGGGGGCACCGTTGGCGATGCCACCGTTTGCGGGGGTCTCGGCGTGAGGTTGTTGGTATTGTTGGTGGGGGTAGGCTGCGGTGGGTGACGAGATCCTGTTATCGAGAATCGGGCGCACCTCAGGGTGTGGGCTGTTCCCGCGGCCAAACGGCGGGATCGGTCCTGGGCCGCCTGGAGGTGGAGGCCCGTTCAGTCCGTTCGGTGGTGCGGGAGGAAGGATGTTCGGTGCCGGGCCACCGTAGTTTGGATTCAGGACACGCACGGGGCCAGATGGAGGCGCGTGTGGCTGCGGTGGCGCAAGGGGCGGCTGTTGGTGCTGGATCGTTGGTGGGTGCTGGACACCCGGTCCTGGGTATGGTCCAGGAAGAGGATGAGGAGAGGCCGCACCGTGCGGTGGCACCGGGCCCAGGTAGCGCGGCTCTTGGTACGGCCGCATCTGCTGATCCGCCGCCCTTGGGCTCGCTTGGCGAGGTGGTGGCGGCGGGGCTCGGGCTGCCTCACGGTGCTCGTACGGGTTCGGTGGCTGCGGAGGAGGGTTGATCTCAGCCAGCCTGTTGGTGGGCCAGTTTCCCGGGCCGGGGCCGGGGCCGGCTGGGGGTCCAGATGGTGCTGGCGGCGCTGCTTGCGAGGGGCCTCCCCATTGAGGCCCTGGCGGACCCACGGCGTTGGTGGGCTGGTACGCATTGGGATGCACGTCCTGCGGAATCGGTGCGGCAGTGTTCATGGTCGGCATGCCTTGTCCACTTCGGAGAAGCTGCAGGCGTGCCTTGATGTGGACGTTGCTGGGATCCAGCTCGTTCGCGCGCTGGTACGCATCGAGCGCATCGCTGATCTGATTGTTGCACGACTCATACTGCAGGTGTGGTTAGCAATGTCCCCAACGAGATCAGCGTGCACGGGAGGATGTAGCTTACCAGGGTGCCAAGGTCGTACCAGACCTCGGAAATGTACGGGTTGAGGCGTATCGCGCGGGAGTACGCATCGAGTGCGTCCCGGTACTGGTTGATCTGGTAATACAAGACGCCGATGGAGCACCAGAAGGTCGGGTTCCGGCCATCACGGTAGACAGCTTGTTGGTAGGCCTCGTATGCCTTGGGATACTTCTGCTGTGACATGTAACATCTGCCCAAGAGGTACCAACTCTGCGCGTCGTTGTTGTCTGCCACGTGTTAAATCGGTGTCGCATTGGAGCTGAAATATGAAGGGGGAAGACATACCGGAATTGACCGACTTCTCCAGGTACTCAATCGCCTGCTCTTGGCTGGCGAAGCTCGGGCTCTGCTGATGATGCAGCCAGCCGAGCTGCTGGAGGACCTTTGCGTGATTCGGATCGCGATCCAGCACACGCCTGTATGCAAGCTTGGCGTTGTCGACCTATGAAACGTTAGGTGTGCCCTGGTTGTCCAGGAATGGTCCAACTCACATCTTTTTGCTGCTCGTGGACATGGCCAATCTGGAACCAGATGTCCTCCTCAGTGAGCGGAGCTGGAGGGTTCGAAACGATGTATTTGAAGCACTGCCGGACCCGTGAGAAACGCGCCTTGTAGGAAAGAAGAGAGAAACACATACCTCGAGAGACAGGCCGTATTTCTGTTGTTGCTTGTAAATTATACCGAGGCGGAAATAGATTTCGTTGGATTTCTCAAAGTCTGGCGCCATGTGCATGACCTGCGAAAAGGCCTCCTCTGCGTGCTCGTATGACCCATATCTATCGTAGAGAATGCCAATGCCATACCAGAGTCGAGGTTCCTGCAGTTCCCGTTAGACCGGGCAATTCCAGGAGAGATCTGGCAAACACAAACCTTGGGATCGCGAAGGTGATACAGCGCTTGCTGATAAGCAGCATAAGCTTGGTGGAGGTCATCCATCATGAGGTAGCAGTGTCCTGTGGGTGTCAGTTTTCGCCCTGAGCGTACATGACATGAATCTTGATTGCCTACCTAGACTGCCCCAGATCTCGCCATTGCTCGGGTCGAGCTTGAGGATATTCTGGATGAAGTCCACGGCCTTGGGGAACTGCTCCTGGTGTCGCAGAATGCCCGCGATGGCCGTCATGGCCGCAATCGAGTGCGGGTTGGCACGCAGCGCGTGCTCGTACGCGACGATCGCCTCATCCGAGGTATTGAGGAGTTCGAGGAAGCTCCCTGCGCAAGGTCAGTCAGCGCGTGCATCTCATTACCAGCGAGCGTGTGAGCCTACCAATCTGCATCCAGACCGCCTCGTTCATCGCGGGGAGGTTCTGCGACGGCGGTCCAGTTGGCCACGGGCCTTGTTGCCCGGGGCCGGGAGGGCCATTCGGCGGGCCGCCCTGGTGCTGTTGCCCCATGTGAAGCGCCGCGGTGGGCGAGGGGTGGTGAGGGGCCATCCGGTGCATGGCACCTGGAGGCGAGGGGTGGTGTGACGCCATCAATATCGAGGGCACGGGTGTTTGACCGCAAGGCGGCAAGAAGTTGGCGGCGTTGTCGCGACGCAATGCGCAGAACGCAGAGTGTGGTGAGGCTGCTAGTGTGGCCCGCGCACTTCGTGTCTGGTGTCAATGGGAGGGAGAGTGTTGAATTGCGGCTGGGGTGAGGGTCCAGTCGATGGTCGAGCTCTCGGACGATGTGTTTGGGTTGAGTTGGGAGTTGGAGAAGTGAGGATGGGCGGCTGTTGGTGATGAGGGCGATGATGGATAGTGTTGAAAAGTGAAAAGGGTGTTGTAATGAAAGAAGAGAAGAAGTAAATGGAAGAGGTTGAGGTTGGTGGAAGTGGTGGTGGATGGGTGATTGTTGTTGACGTGGTAAGGCGTGGAAGGTAAGAAGAAGAAGAAGAACAAGAAGGCGAAGATGAAGAAGGGGATAGATGGGGGANGGGAGGGGGGGAGTGGGAGTAGTGGATGGGGAGTGGGAGTGGGTATGGGTTATAGGTTGGTTGACGGATGGAGGAGAAAAAAGGGAAAGACCGAGCGAACAAGAACAAGGCGGGAAGGGCGAGTTAAGGTATTAGTGTGATTAGTGGGATTAGTATAGCGATAGTAGAAGCAGGGAGTTGGACGGAGTAGACGCGGGAGGGTACAGAGTACACCTGCATACGATTACATCGTCCAAGTCCCCTCCCCGTACCCATCCACTACATCCACTATATCCACTATATCCACTACATCCACTATATCCACTACATCCACTATATCCACTACATCTCACTACATCCACTACATCCATACATCCACTACATCCACTACATCCACTACCATCCACTACCATCCACTACCCATCCCATCCATCCACTACCATCCATCCACTACGTACCCATCCACTCCCCCAACTGCAACACCATCACACCCCCTTCCCCCTCCCTTTCCCAAACTCCCCTAACCCACCCACACACACACACACTCAAACTCCCCTAACCCACCCACCCGCGCTAGGGGACTCGGGCATCTCACTGCAGGTAACCCCAGCTAGCCCCAGCTAGCCCCAACTAGCCCCAACTAACCCCAACTAGCCCCAGCTAGCCCACACACTGTAGTGCAGGGTTGGGTTATGCGACTCTGTACTCCGTACGATGAGCGTGTTAGGTACCTCCCGTACTGGGGGTTGGGGTGGATGGGGTGGATGGGTGGATGGGGTGGATGGGGTGGATGGGGTGGATGGGGTGGATGGGGTGGATGGGGTGATGGGGTGATGGGGTGGATGTCGCTCCGTGTCCACTTCTTTTCTCTACTACTGTACGGAGTACATATCTGTATCCACTATCCGCTACTGTACTGCTTGCACCACAGGTACAGTGCATACATAACTATACTGTACTCTACTTACTCTACTCCCTACTTACTATCCTTGTACCCCCCTACCAAGACACCCACCACACATAACCGCAGCCGTCGTCTATCCATCCGTCATCTACATCCTCGGTCCCTCGTCTCCTTACACCCTCCTCAAGTCCCATCCCTGCCTCAGGCATCCATCCATCTCGTTCCCCCCGGTAGTACATATCGTCGCATCTCCCGCTCCCAAGCCACAACAACCAGCCACTCCAAAAGCAAAACCCACCCAACCCACCCAACCCACCCAACCCCCACCCTCCCGCCAAGCACCGCCCACCCCCCCGCCAAGCACCGCCAGGCCACCATCGTCCTTCGATGCAGCCCTGCCCTGCCCTGCCCTGCCCTGCCCTGCCCTGCCCTGCCCTGCGACAGTACCTTTTACATGAGGGTGAGCATCACCATGGGCATGGAGAGAGTACACAACCCACCATCACCACCACCGCCGCCACCCAGTTCAGTATACCGAGGATGACCACTTCACCAGCCACTACGCTCCAGCCACCAAACCAACCGAGTAAAAGGAAAAGAAAAGGTGACCGTAAACGCGACACCAGTACTGCTTGTCCCCGTCTGTCTAGCATCTCATCTCCCTAGCATCTCCCAGTGTCTGAGAATCGCCGAGAACGGGGGAAGCTGTTTAACACCAACACCCGTGCCTGTGTGCCCGCATTGGCTTCTCCGCCTGTCTGACATGGCCGAACCGCGTACACTCTCTCCAGGACACTTGAGTGATGGCCACATCTACTGTACAGGTGACAGCTGGACGGTGGGTGGGGGCCCACATACCTGCGGCTCACATACCTGCGGTGCGACGGGGGGTATATATATGCATCTGCGGTGCGTCGTGCATAGGAGACCATGCATAGGAGAGTAGTATGCATTGGAGAACACACAGCGCAGAGTGTACCGCAGTGCACTGCACTGCACTGCAGTGCCGATACACAGACAAAAGTTCGGGATTGCGCCGTGCAGGTTTTACGGCCCGGTCTTACACCGACGGCGGATAAGGGGCTGACAGGCTTGGATATATGAAATACACTACAGATAAACGAATTGGTATACAAACCCACCCAAACATACCGAGAAGCTGACACGGCCGTCTGCCATCACCTTGTTCATTCTCCTCCCTCATATACACTCCTCATCCTAATCCCATCGTACAACCCCTTAAAATCAAACACACCCTACAAAAACAAACCCCCTACGCCTGCCCCCCCCCCTCAGGCGCCTTCATAACCTCCCCCACCTCCGGCTGCTTCACCCCACTCGCCTCCCCCGTCTTCCCCGCCCTCGCCGCCGTCGCAGCCTGCAACCTCAAATCTAGCTCCTTGAGCGCTAGTGCCCTCCTCCTCTCATTCTCTGCTCTCCCCCCTCCCCTCCCCCCTCCCCCTCCTCCTCCCTGATTCGAACCCGCACTCGCCACAACCACCGGTGTCTTCGGCGCCAACCCCAGCTTCGCCAACACATCCCCCGCCGCCTCGACAGCTGGACGCGCCGGCTCGGGAAAGAACTGCGCCAACGCGAATGCATCCGAGGCGTCGCCGCGCAGGGGGCCGGGAGAGTCGAGGTCGGGCAGGGGGAGGCGCAGGAAACGCAGGTGTGCCCAGGCGGTGAGGAAACCGGAGAGGGAGAGCAGGGGGGCGGCGACGGTGTAGATGGGGAGGAGGGCGAGGAGGGTGACGAGGAGCAGGTGGAGGAGGGGGAGGCGGGGGAGGCGGAGGGAGAGGATGCCACGGAAGAGGGTTATGGTGTGCGTGGGGAGAAGTTGGGAGAGGCCGGTTAGGAGGGCGACTTGGAGGGCGGTGGTGCCGGAGATGGGGGTGAGGCTGCGGTGGGGGGTTAGCTTGGTTGGGGGATTTTGGGTGGGGGGGTGGTGAAGGGGGAAGGAAATGGGGGACGTACGACCAAGTCACGTCGCCGGTAATGGCGTACATAACCACCAGCGTGGAGAATGTATACACATTAGGAACCAACGCGACCATCGCCACAAACTTCGCAAACTCCCTCGACGTCCACGCGCGCTCGAGGTAGCGCCCTCCATGCCAGATCGTCAGCACCGAGATGGCGAGGGAGAGGATGTTGGTCTCGACGAAAGTGGACGTGACCAAGGTCCAGGGGTAGATGAGCGACATCGACGGGATGAGGGTTATGTAGGGGATCACTAGGTCCTCGGCTGGGCTCTGGAAGTGGACCGCGGCTGAGAGGAGGGATTGGAAGATCAAGAGGAGGAGGAGGCCGCGCGTGATGGGGGGGAGGTTGAGGCGGATTGCCATGGTGGGGGGTGGTGGTGGTGGTGGTGGTGGTTGTCGTCGTCGCCGTGGCCGTGGCCGTTCGCTGTTGTGTCGTGGTGTAGTCGTAAAGAGGGAGGTGTTGGTTGTTGATCTATACGTACTCGAAACTTATTTATTCGTAGGTGAGGCTGCGCTGTTGCGGCTGGAGCCTTTTACCACGTCCCGTCCGTCTCGACAGGCTCCACCTTTGGGAGCGCAGACAGGGGGGACGAGGCGAGGCCTCTCCCCTTGGGTGCCTGAGGTTTCACTACGGTTGGCTGCGTGCCTCAGGTTTCACCAGGTCACATGTCGTTTTGCCCTTGCTTTGTGTTATGGCATGGCATTGTTCTGTCGGGATGTTGGTCCAAGGGCGCTAGGGTGGATTAGGGTAGGGGGGTTAGGCGAGGAAAATGTGACGGAAGCAGCCTCTTCCCTCCCTTGACTCACATCACAGCCTTCTCTTCGTACCCGGTTAGAGTAAGGGTACGTACCGCTCTCCGCTCTCCGCTCTCCGCTCTCCGGGTGGACTGCACAGCAACAGAAGAGAGGGATCATGACGTGCGTCAAACTCAGGCACGTGATAAAAAAAAGCAAAAAAAGCCTTCTCCCTCAGACCCTCAGACCTGGCTTGGTGGTGGCTGTTGCGTGGTGTTTTCGGCATCGGCGCCAGTTCGGATCCTTGCGGTTAGAGTACCGGCCGCTGACACAGAAACTTCCTTGGCGCCCACTAGTACCGCAAACTGAATTTGTACTAAACTGGCTGTACTCCGTACGTGTACTCGCACCCACACCCGCTGCTTGTACTTGTACTGTAACTCCACTGCTATTTCCTACTGCAAATTACTCTAACTGGTACTTCACTCCACTCAACTCTACACTCTACTACTCTACTACTCTACTCTACTACTCTACTACTCTACTACTCTACTAGCCAGCAAACATCCACGCTTCTACTTCACATATTCGTCTCGACCCTACCCGACACCTTCCTTACCTCCTACCTCCTACTCTACTCCTACCTCTACCTCCTACCTCCTACTCTACCTCCTACCTCTACCTTCTCCTACTACTAAACTACCCTTACTACTACCTCTACTACCCTACTACCTTCGTCTACGCTACGTCCATCACTCGCTCCTCCTCCCTCCTCCTCCCTCCTCAACCCACTCTTCAACAACCTCATCACCCATCACCCACCACCCATCACCCATCACCCATCACCCCCAAAGGAAACATCTCCCCACCGTCGCGCTTTTGCTTCCCATGCAAGGGCAGCTTCCCCTAAAGCCATGACCAAAGAGGAGCTCAACTCTGACAGGATCAACTATCTCGTCTGGAGGTATGTACATGTCAACCTACCCCCCCCCCCCCCCCCCCCCCTCCTCATCCCCCCCATCACTCCCATCATTCTTCCACCCGCTCTGGTTTTTTGCAGCTACACACATACACACACAGCCAAGTCAGTCGCTAACACTGTCCGGAAAGGTATCTGCAAGAGTCAAGTATGTCCCACCTAAACCAGATCCCCCTCTACCCCCGTGATCTCCAGGCCCTGTGTCTGCATCACGTTTTCTGTATTAACAATCTGCTGTAGACTATCGCGAGACTGCTGTCAAGTTACAGTCGGAGTGGGACGTGAGCGATCCGCAGTCTCTTGACTTTGCGCCCCATGTCAACAACCATGCGCTAGTGGCTGTTTTGCAGCGCGGCCTTCTGTATCATGAAGCAGAGCGCCTATCCGCCCAGGTATGTCGCAGTCCCCAATTAATGCCTATGATGGAGTGGCAAGTCGGGCAGCAATTTGACTCTTGGTAGTCGCGTCGTGGCGCCGTCGCTGGTGCGCCTGCGACGGGATTCTTTGGCCCTGTCGCCCCGTTGTCACCGCCACTGGCGTCCAGTGACGAGATCGCAAACGCGCGCAAGCGCTCTACGGAGGAGAGGTCTCAGCAGGCACGGCAAGAATCACCAGCAAAGCGTATTAGGCTCAGCAATGGCTACGGAAATGGCATTGACTCTACTACTACGCCTATGGATCTCGACGAAGCGGCGCCGGCCGCGATCACCAATGGTCACGCGTATCCCTCACCTCGAGAAGTCGAGGTAGAGCGGGTCCCGACGCCGGCGCGAGTCACCAGCGGGCCCGAGAAGGGCACGCAGATAGAAAAGGTCGCCGAACTCAGCGCCGAAACGACGTATCTCACGCTGGCGCAGACGTCGACGACAAACCACCCGATTCTCCTGCACTGCGAGTGGAACCCACGAGATCCCAAACGTCTGGCCACAGCGGGTATGGATACGCTAGCTCGCTTATGGACGGTCCCCTCGCGTACGCCTTCCCCACAAATTGACGGTCACGTGCCACCACCCGCTTTTCGGGACCTGGTCGACGAGGATGAGCATCGGGCGGCGATCAGTTCGATTTCTTGGACGTCGGATGGCGAGGCATTGGCGGTTGCTAGCGACTGTGATGGGACTGGTAAGATCAACATCTGGAGTAAAGATGGTTCGCGGATTGTGCAGTTTAACTCCCTTGGTTACCCTCCAGTCATCTGTCTCCGATGGGGCGCGTCAGACCGGACTCTGCTGGCATTGACTTCCACCGATGGTAAGGGGGCGAGCAGCTGGGCAACTGTCTTTACTACGCCAAACCAGGAATCAGCGACTTTCGATCTAGGGCCTAACTTCCAGCCATTGGATGCTGTGTGGACTGGCCCGTCTGGTTTCGTTGTGTGCAATGGAGAGTCTCTCGCGAGCTTCAATCTTTCCGAAGGAGACATAATAACCCGCACCAAAACCTACGACATTCGGAAGGAAGCAGGGCCGACAAGTCTCGCATATGACCCATACTGCAATCTTCTCGCAGCTGCCAACGACGATGGTGTTATTGATGTAAGTAACACTTATGATAATAAGCTTCCTCAACTAATCGTTGTTAGATATTTGATTCCTCGGCTACTCGCGTCGGCATGGCTACGCACAAAGGTGCCATAACGTCAATGAAGTGGCAGCCAATCCCCAGCTCGTCCGACGACCAAACCGAGCGCCTCCTCGCCAGCTCCAGCGAAGACGGCTCCATCAACATCTGGAACTCCCGCTCAGACTTCAAGAAGCCAGTGGAGACGATGACGATGGACGCCGCCGTCCTCGCGCTGGCATTCACACCCGACGGCGCTTTCCTGGCGGCTACGACGAATTCTCATATCCTGATCTGGAATATGGCGGATCCTAGTTTCCCCAGGGCACGCTGGGTTAGAGGCCAAGAGCCGGGCTGGCAGAGCCCGAAGATGAATGGGGCGGCGTTGGAGGAGTACCATCATTGCTTGTGCTGGGACTCGGATGGGAAGAGATTGGCGTATGGGGTTAATAGCATGGTAAGTTATTCTAGCGTCGTGATTGAGTCCTTCTTGCTTTGGTGCTGGAGCTGACATGCTTTGAAATAGCTTGCTGTGATCAAATTCATTCCTGGAGTTACGGATGTGGCTGTTAATTGACCTTCGGGGGAGGTTACAGTCACTTAATATATCCGGAAACGCCTAGTTTTCTGGAGTTGGACTCCTTTCCGGCTCAGCATCTCTATTTCACAACGAGGGCGAGGGCGGGGGGCATCGGGATTGGGTCATTAACGGATGCAATACATAACGGAGTACGGAGGGGATGAAATACACAGATTCGAAAACAGGAAAAGGGGGGGATGGGGGTTGTGTTATGCCGTAGCCAATGTATTTCTATTTGAAAAGGCGCCGGGGACGGCGGCGGGGGAACGGCGGTGGTGGGTGAGCGATTATTCGAAATACCCTTTTTGTACGATAAATCGTTCGGGGATGGGGGAAGGGGCAACGGGGAGGGGGTTGTACGCACACGTGTATGGGTAGAATTGGAATGAGTTTTGGGATTCCGGAATGTAGTTTTGTGGTTTTTGGCGAGGAAGGCGTGTTTGAGTTGCGATATACATATAGGGATTTTCTATGGAAATAGAAGTTACATACATCATAATTTTGGCGAGATGTTGGGGGGGTTTTAATTGTGATTATTTGCTAGACATGCGTTACTGGGAGATGGCAATTTTTTATGGGCCGTTTGCAAATATAGTGAGAACGGGAACCGTATACCTTCAGGGGATTTAATATGTATTATTGTCTCTTGAATAATATATATATATGTTTTCCCATCGAGACTCCATGCGCTAGCTAGATGGACGGACGACTTAAGCTTCACCACCTTTTGCCTCCCTCGCTAATATCCGCCCGCAGATCATCGCTTATAGCACCACCGCGTGGGTTTGTGGGGTACCGACGACGACCACAGCTACAGCTCAAGCTGGAGCTGGAGCTGGAGCTGGTGTACGAGCAACATCGATATATATCACCACAACTACACCCATTAACCCCATCAACCGCAAAGTCACCCAAGGTACCCCACCCCCCTCTGTCCCTCTACACAAACACGCCAGCTAACCCCCCCCGCGCAGCAATGTCATCCCCCCCATCAAGCTCACACACCCCAACCCCAACCCCGACGAGTATCCCAACCCCCCTCCTCTCTTCCAGTGCTACGGAACCACACACCACTACTACCACATCATCTTCGACACAAACGCCAACCGCGACACAAGCTGCGACGTCGACATCAATATCGAGTCTGAAAGCCGCGCAGCGGGATAGGCAGGCGAGGAATAAAAGTCCCAAGAGTGGGGAGGCTGTGTGGTGTGGCAATGATGGGGGTGCGGGGGAGGGGAATGAAAAAGAAGTTAGGGAAGAGTATGTCGGTCGTTCTTCCGTATTGTTATTTGTGCTGGGAGTGGGATGGGGGGGTGGGGAGAAGGTGTGGGGGAAATGGGATGAGGAGAGGAGAGGATGAGAGGCTGACGAATGATAGGAAAGTGAGTTATACGGATGATTCTTATGAGGCGGTCGAGAGGAGGAGGTGGGCAGCCACGATATTGGATTGTCCGGAGCTGTTGATGATGCATGCGCAGGCTAGGCAGGATGTTCGCCCCACCCCCCCCAATTTCTTCCCCCTGTACTCTAAAGCTGACGGTGCGGCGGTACAGACGATACCTTCGACGAGGCTGCACTTCACGAAACTGCTGTGTGGGTATGAGGATTCGCCGCGGAAGACGAAGAAGGCGAAGGCGAGAAGGTCGGGGAGGGGGGTTAAGGAGTGAAGGTTAAGGAGTGAAGGTTAAGGAGTGAATAACGGCGTGGTTTGGGTTCGGGTTTGGAGTTTGGCTTGAGGGCTTGGAGTTGGGTTCAAGTCTGGGATTGGAGCTTGGAGTTGGGGTAGTGGTCTAGGTTTGGGGTAAGGGTAAGGGACAAGCAAGGAGTTTGGGGTATACACAGTTAGACACACGACGATCACGGCATTTTTGACGACGACGACAAATTAGGTAATTCGTTTCGTGGGTATTCATCACACCTCATCCATCCTATACAAGAGGCCGTGGACATCTCTATCTCTCCCCCTCCAATATGTATCACAACACAACACCCACCCCATGCAACCCATTCCCATACCCCCCTTAAAAATATATCCCAATCCCAAACCCAGCCTTCCATGCTATTTTCGCAAACAACAAGAACAAGACCCTTAAAAAGCACGCCAAGATACACTTACTACGCATACCTAACCGGCGCCCCCCCATACGCCCTCTGCGGCACATTCCACTGCCCATCATACTGCTGCCCGCCCGCGCCATACTCATACTGCGGCGGCGGCGCGCCCATCCCCATCCCCCCCATGCCTCGCTGCTGCATCCGCGGTGTCGGCACAACCGCATACCCCCTCCCCTGTCCCTGTGGCGCCCAGCCCGCCCGCCCTCTCGGTGGAGGAGGCGCATTAGGGGCGTACTTCCGCTGTCGACTCCTGCGCTTACAGGAGCTGAAGATACAGCTGATAATCGCCAATAACAGTAGTCCTCCGACGCTGGCGCTAAGGCCGATAACGAGGGGTTTATGCTGGTCCACCCACTCCTTTATGCGTCCGCCGACAGTAGACCCCTTGCAGGCACCGTTACTGCATTTCCCTCCCCCACCACACTTCGTTCCGTCGAGGAAATTCTGGGTCAGCCCCTCGCAGTAGTATTGCGAGGCGTCAGTCGCGCAAAAGAGCTGGCACCCATCGTCGCTGCACTGGTAGTACTGCGGTCCCATAAGAGTCTTACACTGTTTATCCCTCGATGTGCACTGTCCGCTCGCGCAGGTCAGTCCGTCACCGCTAGCACCACAGCTCGATCCCTCATCCGCGTGCGTATCCGCCGGACACGAGGCGGCGGTTCCGGAACACGTTTCCTGGGGATCGCAGTCGCTCGTCGAGGCGCGACATATGGTGCCTTGGGTAGCGAATTGGCAGGTGGAGAGACAGCAATCTTCGTTTGAGGGGTCGCAGACGGCGTTGTTCTGGGTTTTGAATTTACACGTCGTGGGGTTGCAACAGGGGTTATCGCCACACCCTGTCGCGCCGCCACAATCGCAGTCCTCGCCCATCTCCACGATGCCATTGCCGCACTGTGAGCCGGTGATGGTGGGGACGTTGCGGTTGCTCGTCAGACAGTTCGTCTTCACCGATTGTCCGCCGATGGCGCTGCAGATGTTGCCGATGCTGCAGGGCGAGAAATTCGTGATTCCCACGCCGGTGGAGGGGTTCATGACGTATTTGCCGCCCGCTGAGCAGGAGTTTTTGGAGAGGGGACAGCATTGTTGCGCTGCGACTGTTTTGCCGTCCGCGCAGGTGGTGGAGTCGCAGTCGTGGACGGCGCCGAAGGTGTGCCCGACTTCGTGGGCGATGACGAGCCACTCCGTGTCTGTCTTGACGACGACGTTGGCGCCGGACACGGTGTCGTTGGAGCCGCCTTGGGTGGAGGGTTGGGCGGTGTTGACGCAGGCTTGGCCGAGCCAGGAGAGGCCGACGGCGGAGCCGGTGCCGCAGGTTGTGAGGAGGGCTGGGGATGTTAGGAGGGAAGTATCAGGTGCGGGGGCTAGACTTACTCCAGTAGGCATTGGTATCTTGGCTCGCGCCTCGCCAGGCTGAGAAGAGATTGAGGCGGTCTTGGATCTGAAGACCAGAGTTGCAGTCTCGGTTCCATGGTGTGTTGACCTGCGAGACTCCTGGGCATGTACCGTCGGTGATTGTGAGGTTCTGGATCCCGAGAGAGATGTTAAAGCTCTCCTCGTACAGCACTGATGCCGAGTTCATCTGCGTGATTATGTTGGCGCGTACTGATGACGACGAGTTGAAGAATTTGGTGTATGTACAATCCGTTGCGATTCCAACCAGGGCGACCTTTCGGGAGGTGGGACAGCCGGCTGGGTTTCCGATGCTGTTCATGAGGTTGACAGCCGCTCCGTTTCCAGGTAGGTTTCCGGTGGGGTCGATGTCTCTGCCGAATATCGATCCTGAGGAGATGGATCCCCAGTAGGATTCGCCCCTCCTCAGGACAGGAGACTGAGAATACACTTGATTATACACTGGATGCTCGGGCATCAAGTTGAATATCAGATCATCCGACAAGCACGACCCCGTATTCACATCTCTCTTGAGCTCTCCCCTGTTGGATTCATCAGGCGTGATGTCGGAATCCCTCCAGACAACCATAATATCCTCTCGGTCATCCTCCACATACGGGTCCAACTCATGCTTCGTCGCGACGTATGAATTCCTCGGGTGAATATGATGATGGTTCCCATCGATCCTGAATGCTCCTTCAAAAAGCGGATCCACGCCGTCCCGATGTATCACCACTCTCGCCCATCCCGCGTGTGTCCATTGTGTATCCTCATGAGTGCGAACCCACGCATGACCCTTGAAAACCCTGTGGTCCGACCGCTCTATCAGTTCCACCTCCCGCACCTGCCCATCAGCCCCAATATAGTTCACCGTTGCCCCCTCGACTATAACGTCGTCATTGGGGTCCAGCGTCAGCTTGATATACTGCTGCCGGGCATGGAGATGGAACGAAAGATCGAAAGAGGAGTATGCATGTACACGATGCGACGGCGTGTGTATTACCGGTTCATCGACAATCGAAAGATATGAGAGAGGAGCTCGTTTGACGGAATGTGCTGGATCATTTCTGTCAGGACCTGCCCGGCGAATATGACGGCTGGGTAAACATACCTTGGGCGATATGGGAGAAGCCGGCGCTGACGAGGGCCGCCGCGACGCATCTTAATAACCTCATAACGCACAGAATATGACGCTATATACACCTGAGACCACACGCCCGACTTCGGCGAGCAACGGACGAATAGCCCAACAACCCAGGGCGATTAAATAGCACGTATATACCGGTCATGCAGCGAGTGTCTGTTGGTTTCGTTTTTTTGTCCCCAGCAAGGTGTGGTGTCCTGGCGCTCTAGGGGTCTTGGTATGTTTCAGGCGTACAAAGCCTTTTGATTTAACGAGCGACAAAGGAATAATAGATGCTGTAGAAAACGATGGGAGAATATATTAACAGAGTAAGGATGTGTTAGAGAGAGGAATGAGGGAACAGCACAGCATAATAGTAAGAGGGTTAAGTTTTGGTTTGGGGAGACCCAAGTCTCAGGTTTGAGGTTTGGTTGGTTATCAACAAGCCGCCCAGCCAGCACAGCCTTCGCTGGCGAGTAGGGGGTGTACATGCTATTATGATACCTATGATATCCACCGACGCCCACCGACGCCCACCAGACGCCCACCAGACACACAAATAAAGCCAAGCCACTGTTGATGCAACATGAGCGGAACCACCGGAACAATTGACGTCTGCGTCTGCGTCTGCGCCGAAAGCAGTCGTAAGCTGATGTGAGGCTAGCCACAGTGAGTGAGTTGAGTACGTACTCCTAGTACTGGTCGCTGGGTGGCAGCCAGGCAGGCTGAGTACCTGTACCTCCCGCTCCCGTCGAGGCCAGGCTCACGTAAGCGCCCGGTGCACGTGACATCAGCCTTGCTCGGCATCGGGATTTTTAACTACCGTAAGAGTATAATTCAATCGACAGACTCCAACAAGAAAAGAATAGGCAAGAAAAGGGGAGAAAAGGGGAGAATAGGCAAGAAAAGGGGAGAAAAGGGGAGAAAAGGGGAGAAAAGGGGAGAAAAGGGGAGAAAGGGGAGAAAAGGGGAGAAAAGGGGAGAAAAGGGGAGAATAGGCAAGAAAAGGGGAAAAAAGGGGAGAAAAGGGGAGAAAAGGGGAGAAAAGGGGAGAAAAGGGGAGAAAAGGGGAGAAAAGGCAAAAAAAGGCAAGAAAAGGCAAAAAAAGGCAAGAAAAGGCAAAAAAAGGCAAAAAAGGCAAAAAAGGCAAAAAAGGCAAAAGAATATGACGCCTACCTACTTGAGAGTAGATGGTTCTGAAGATTTCCGAACCGGGGAGTCGAACCCCGCGCAACCGCGGGTTCTGATCAATGATCATGAGAGGCGGATATGTTACCGATACACCAGTTCGGATCCGTTTTTGATGGGAGGAGTGGGTTATATCGCTAGATATACCCGGTGAGAGACAACAAGTCTGTGGAATCGATCATCACCCTCCTGCTCCTGCGTAAACTTACGAGGGATAGGAACTGATTGATTATATTTATAATTCCACGGGTTTTGATTATAGGATAGTAATCGAATATAGTAATCGAATATAAAAATGAATATAAATCCGACTAATAAACCAAGGCGCACGAAGACAACGTCAACCAACCGATCACTTGCTCCTGTAACTATAACCATCTGATAAAACCGATCACCAGTCTTATAATAAATAAATCGACTTGGCGAATAACACATTGATCTACGCCATCACTCACCACCCAAGCAAATTAAAAACCAGTCTCATAATAAATTGCATCGACGATAAAACGCCAACCAACGGTATCATTTACTACCTTAACTAAGAACCACTGTGCGAGTAAATTATCTTTTCCAGGCATGTACATACACCATCGAAACAAGAAAATAATCCATCCGCATCATCATGACCCACCCCCCTCCTCTCTCCCACCACCCACCATCCTTCCCTCTTCGCTGCCCACAAAATCGGCCGAGCGAGACACCAACTCTAGAAAGTAAAAATAAAATCATCGGGGCCCCGGCAGAAAGCAACCCCCTTTTTCAGACTCAAAAATTAAAAGCGGAACTTATGAACGCCCTCATTATCATAGAGCAGTACCCTTCGGACCACCGAGAGACCCAGCGGGGGAGGGGGTCAAACGAGCGTCGCTACCCTACGCACCCTACATCCCCGTTCCATTTATAGCTCATCATCCTCATCGAGCTCGGACGGCTTCAAGAGCCCACCGACCTTCGACAGGCGCTCGCGCTCGGCGGCACGTGCAGCGGACTCTTGCTGCTCCTTCTCTTCGGCGTAGAGCTCCGTGTTGTCGCCTGAGAATTCCTTGAGCTGGATCAGGAAGTCGCGGAGGCTGAGCTTGAACTTATCGGTCAGGTGGTTGAGGGTGAAGAGGCCCTCAACGAAGGACTTGATTTGGAGACTGTGAAGGTGGGTTAGTAGGTGTGATGCGAAGTGGGGGGGTGGGGGGACTTACGGGGCGAGGTTGGTGAATGCGGTCTGGAGAAGGTTTGCTACGAAACCACCGAGGAAGTCCTTGTTGCTGGTGCCTGATGGGGCTTGGTCGGCGGGGTAGATGGGACCCTGGATCTTAGGTTGGGTGCCGTCACCTGGGTGGACGAAGTAGAACATGCGAGATAGAAGTGTTGACTGCGACTTGAACCCAGCCTTGTGGTCGTTATCACAGAGAACAAAGAAGACGTCCTGGAGAATAGGAAGGAAGAATTGCTGGAAGAAAGCGCTTGAAGTCTGCGGGTCAGTGTCGGCAATGTTTGTGATAAGCTCGAGACACATGTTAAGGCCTGCATATTCGACCTCGCGGTTGTCGTGCTTGCTTGCCCACATGCATGAATCGATGACGAACTTGAATTGCCTGTTATCCAACTTGAGGAGTGCTGGGAAGCAGTGCATGTTGATGGCGCGTAGCAGCGAGAAGAATTCCACACGGTGCTCTGGGAACTCGGAGAAATCCTTGTTTATCATGTTTAGGGTGCACTCGAAGACGTTCTCCATAATGACCGGTACTTGATCTTCCATAAGTCCAGAGAGCTTCTGGATGATGATGGACATGACCTTCAGGACTTCAGCGTCCCTCGCGTTTGCCACGTTGCGGTTGTAATCGACCAAGACAGCGTCTAACAGGGCAGGCACAATGTTGGTGCGTACCATTTCGAGGTCATCTGCTCTCTCGACATAGGTCTCGATAAGCTTCAAGATCTCCTTCTTGATCGTGCGAAGGCCACGGACCTTGGGTGTCCTGGTGGCAATCTCGCCATCCCTAGCCACTGCCTCAGAAATCATCTGACTGGTTGCCCTGTACATGGAAAGCATATCGAGGTAGATCTTCCCAATCTGAGGGTAGAAATAACTTCCGATAGATGTGCAGGCGGATACGTTGGTCTTCATGACGTTGCCAATGACCTTAATCGTATCTCCGTCTTGCAATATCGCTGGATTTGCCGTAGCCTGGCCAATAATGGTGTCCCAAGCGGCATTTGGATAGGACATGAGCTCAGCGATCAGCCTTTCCTGGGCATTCTTTTGTGGCTGGGCAGCAATCATGTAACCGCATGCCTCGTAGAATGTATGAACTTGCTGAGGAGATAGGTCGCAAGTGATTTTCCGCATTGTCCTCACGATCTCCTCAATAAACGGCTCTTGCTCGCCTGGCTGAAGGGCAACAAAGTGGCGCTTGCATTGCCGAGCAATTTTGATAAATGTATCACATGCCATATCCTGAACCCCCTCGTGCGACTCGTGCATGAACTCAAAAAGCTTGTTCACAACAGTCTTTAAGAACTTCCAGTGGGCCTTCAAGAACCGCGGATACTGTCCGACAATATACATGATATTACTGGCGACGACAGCCTTGTTGTCCTTCCCTCTCTTCATTTCCGTTAAGCCAAGGAGGTCTTTAATGACAGTAACCAAGAATCGTTTCTCGGTCTCTTCATTCATGGCCATAGAAATCGATCCGATAGCCCAGCATAGCGTATTGCAGTTGGCCCAGGACCATTCGCTGCCATCGACTTGCCGAGACAGCTTCTCAGTCATAATATTCTCAGTATCAACGACGTCCAAGTGAGTGAGGTAAACCAGGCACTCGCGGGTTGTCTTGTATAATTGAATGGTGTCGCTCTCCTTGACGAATTCACGAACAATCTCTCCCTCCTCATTCTCCACAATCAAAACCTCTTCTGGCCGAACCATCTTCTCGATCATGACTGTCCTCAAGTTCGAGAGAACCTCGTTGTACTTGTGCTTTCGTAATGGGTAGTTAGCCAGTACATTCGGGTTCAATGCTCCGCCATTGGACAGACCGCCGACGCCCATGTTGACTAAGGGGTTCACATCTGTAATCGGTAACGACTGCATCTCCTCATATAATTCCTGAACAAGCTTGGTCCAGTACTCTAGGCAGATCTTGAATATCTCGCGGTCGTCAATCTGAGAAATTCGAATAAGATAGAAGTGCGCATGTGTGAGGAAGTCTCGGTTCGGTAAGTTTTCGATGAGGTTGAGGTGCACAGAGAAGAAGTTGCACAGGAATAGCGCTAAGTTCTGGATAAACTCTTGATCTTTTGAGTTGCTGGAGCTGTACGTAGACTTCAAATCCAGCGACAGGGGAATAATTTCCGAAATGGTGGTTAAGACCTCAGTGAACATCTGCACCTGCTTCTCGTCGTAGAGCCCATGGCCCTCGGTTTTCAAACCACCGATTTCTGTGAGGCCCTTCAGTGTAATATTTCGAAACTCAGGTGTCTTCAGGAATCGAGTACGGAGGGTGTCGATAATCGGCGTCTCGAAAATATAGCCCAGGGGGATCCAGTTGAAGAATCGAAGGAGCGTCTCGAGGGTTGCCTTGATGAGACTAGGTTGGTTAGCGGTAGTCAAAACTTCGTTGCACAGCGAGAAAATCGACGAGAACTCGAGGCACATGGTGCTTTTTAGGTTCTTGGTCTTCGTAGATGTCATGGCATCGGCCGAATAGTCGAACACTTCTTCTGAAAGCAAGCGTAATATAGACATGTTGTTCTCGCAGATCGACAGGCTCGTGCGGCAGGACGAAACGATCTCGTTGATAAACGTAGGCCAGTTGTGAGGCCATTCTTGCTTGAGGATAGAGACGAGGACCAGGTTGAGCTTGTTGAGAAGGGTCCGCTGCGTCTTCAAAGACTCCTCCGACGAGGAGCATTGGATGATGTAGTTAACCACAAAGTTGCGGATACCTGGGCACAGTCAGCATCAAGCTGAATGAAAGACCAGTAGAGAAGGCAAACCTTGACACTGCTCCTTTGGCAGAACCTTCCAACGCGTCATAATCACATTGTCGAGCACCTGTAAGCCAAGGTCTGTATCCGTTAGCCGCGCCCTGCTATAACTCCATCACAAGGGGCCCGGGACATACACTTTGTCTGTGGGTATGTGGCCTCTTGAAGTATCTTATCAACAAGCAGCCAAGCATCTTGATCTTCTTTGAACTATGCCGGGATATTAGCTGCTGGCCGAAGCTCCATGAGGCAGGGGTCGGTTTACCTGGTTCATCGTAGCCTGAGCAGCTTTTTGCTATCCATCAGTGAATTAGTGAGTTGTTCGAGACGATTATGAGTGCCAGGAGATGCCTGCTAACTAACCTGCTCTCCTCGGCCTTCATAGAAGGTTCGGACGGTCGCGTCCAGCTCGGCGATGGATAGCGCCATGGCGTCAACGATTCGACGAACTGTCGTGGTGGTATTCGCAGATGAGCTTAAGATGTTGCCAGCTATAAAAGTAAAGATTTCGGTGCAGCTTGCGCTGGAAGGATCCTATAATGAAAGAGAGATGCGGCTGTGGTCATTAATCCTGGTGAAGTTGGGACGGTCCTTGATGGTGGGGCAAGGCTGGCAGTTTGTTCACCAAGCGAAGCGTTTTAGAGAGCGGAGGTGATTACATATATAATGCCTGCAATTCCGGGGTGGAAGAACTATAAGCTCTTTGGAGTCTGCACGACGATTCTAACAACCAGTCTTCTGGGTACGGTACTTATATAATATTAATATCACCGTTGGTTTAATTAACAGCTATTTACTATTTTACGGTACAGCCAAACCTGAGGTTGTTGGATAACGATTTGCTGGTATCTAATCCACAGTTCTGGTTCCCTTGGCAACAAAATATCACGGGTAGACATACAGTATCGTAGTAATAACTTCTATCAAATCCGCCTTGAAGGCATTAATTACTCTATTCTAGGGACCGGTTGATGATATCCATACGCTACATCTCCATCTGTTATCCTCATACCTTATGCTCTTCCACGCCCTCTTTGTCATTTGAACTTACCGTGCCATAAACACGCAGAGGCACCGCAATCTCAAAACTCTCACAGTTTAACATTTCTGCTGCTGCTAAGACAGCGCCACGATCATCCCGCGAAACCTCTTCAAGCAATTCAGAGTCGTAGGTAGGGTTCCCCTCCCTTGTGCGATCGACACGTGGAGTTACAAACTCAATTAGAATCTTCCAATCCAGGGACACGCCACTGGTGATGAAGCTTGGTGTTGCAGCTACGGGTATCGATGGCGAGAACACGATTCTTCTCGCAAACAATGCTGATTCTGAGTGCGAGGCGTGCGTTTTGCGGGTGACGCGGTTTATACTGACATCTGACCGCAACGCTATCGACTGATCTACCTTTTCAGATGATTCTAGCGACGCGTGCACGGCGTAGCATGCGATTTCTGCATCGGCGAACTCAATAATAGCGGTGACGGTTTCTCCAAGGCGATATGCTGGTCGAGCAAGCATGACAACCGCAATCCTTTGCCCGCCGCGAGCGATCTCGAAACGATTTGCACTCTGCTGCATGTCCGTTGCAAGATTACTTCGTAGTATTGCCATGTCTATAGCTTCTTTTGCTGACGCAGGTCCTGGTATACTTGAGAGTCGACGTCGTTGCAAATTTGCTGTTGGAGAGAGGAGCGAAAGGTCTGGTTGCTGGTTAGGCGTTGTTAATAGGTCATCCACATAAGAGAGAAATTCATCGTGTGACGATTGGGCTTTCTTATTTGACACCGGTGTTTTGGATGATTGTTCCACAGTGCCAGTTGCCCGATCCAAAATAGACCGAATAGATGCTTGGTCTTTTAAGATTATATATGGTGACATGAGATCGTGACCAAGGAGTTCGCCACGATCATTCACACTCCCAAGTACCCTAAATGGCACTTCCACAGACTTTATTTGCTGTTCTTTTGAACCTCCGGGCCTTTGGGTTCCGAGGACTAGCTGGTAAGATATTTTGATGGCCCTTCCTCGATGCGTGGGCGGTAGCCCTCTGGGCAATTTGAATTTGTACTGGAAAGACTTTGATTCCTCGGGCGCCAGTCTCAAGTCAACAAAAAGTATGGACTGAGGAGTCGACAAAAGAGGGACCGGTCGTGAGTTAGCTATTCCTCGCATATCTCTGATACTACTGAGGTCGCTCCCACCCAGGAGACCACCTAGAGATTCGGTGATATTGCCCCAGCCAAATCCGCGGAGCAAACCGCTTTCTCTCTTGTTTTTTTCGATGCCAATCACGCCACCTCCTTGGCCACCAACGACGCCTTTCCTCTTGACTTCTTCAAATGGTTCCTGGTCGATCAAGGAGCCATCAAGAGTGAAAGACCCTTGGATTTGTGCATAACCCATCATGAGACTCTCCACTGTAGGCCGGTACTGGCTTACGTCAGAGACTGCTGAAACCTGGCGGGCATGGTCCGAACGAGATCCGAGGAGCCCTGCCCGTGGAGCAATATATTCGGACGCTAATGTTTCGGTTGAATTGTTACTCAGAGAGTAAAACTCGCCACTGTTCCTGGGTGTCTCGCCGTTGTTGTTCATAGGCGAGAGAATTCGAGCCGAGAGGGTGGTTGGGTCCCGTCCAGGAGGCATATCATCTTTGGATGGAGGGTAAAGGAGGCTATTGGACGCCTTTGGGCTATGAATAGACCCATTCTGGTCATTCTCTGTAGCTTCCAGCGGCGACTGTTCATCAACTCCTGGACCACTGGTGGCCGGGAATCGGAACGTAGTATTAGGAAACTTAAAGCCTTGTTGGGAAGGTGATGCAGATGCTTGTCTTCTGGCAGGCCTAAATCTTTGTGCAGCAGGTGCGCTCGAAGACGTTAGGGTGTTCAAGCTGTTGGTAGACTTTCTATGTGGTTCAAGTTCCCCTCGCAAAGTCGATATATCCGATAATGAATGGTTCTGGAACAGCGGTGATGGCTGAGTTGCCGACCTATGGGGCGGGGCTGATGCTGATGCTGATTTGGGACCATTGCCATTTGGATATGGCCGACGAGGCACAATCTGCAGACTGGCTGCCCTCCCATGCCGCCTGTATGGAACCCGGGGCGGTTCATTTGAATTTGAGCCTAAGATATCACTGCGGGCGGTATCATTCGCTCCCAAGGATATGATTGAAACGGATCGTCGGTGACTATGGCCTTTACTTCGGGGGGCGGCCTCGGAGATATTGTCGTTTCCTGGACGTGTATCGGGCTGTTGGAAATTTCCTAGCGCTGGAACATTCAGAGATAATGCTGAACGATGCCCACGTTTGTTGGGCAAGGAGAGTGAATTAGAGACATTGCTAGCTCTTCCCCGCCCATCTGATATTTGTGAGGAGGTGGTTGTCTTTGTCTTTCGGTGCCGTTCTCCTAGCGGAGACGGTCCGTGGGTTCCAGAGGGGTTCGCCGGTATGCGTTGGATCCCTGGTATGGCGGCAATATTCTTAAATGTTATGTTGCATCCGACTTCCTCGCCTGCGAAAACTGTCGATTGTGACCACTCTACGCAGACTCGAATGTTTGAAGTCGGCGGAGGCATCTTAGGGGTCTGTTTAAGATCGCTCCTTCCACTCGAAGAAGCTTTGTGACGGCGCTCATGGATGCAATTGGAGGCGCGCTGGATTTAATTGATAAATTAACATAGTTATATTATTCAAGAAATTATGAATAATGGGACGCAGGAAGGGACGCAACCATTGTTAAAGAGGATAAAGGGAACCTCGTGAGGTACGAGCGGACCAGCTCGAGTGGTTTGTGCCTAATATGTTAGGCGCAAGGGACGACCCCCGTCTATCGTACGATTGTTGCTCAGTCCGGCAGGGGGGTTCACAAGTAAACAGAGCTGCAACTCACCCACGTCCGCTCAAAAATCCAAGAACGAAGGACCTGAGGTTTCTAGTTGCTCAAGGTATTTAACTCCCCTCGGAATTGTTTACCCACCTCTCGCGTCTTTATCTTCCTTTGCTCTCGAGTGAGTTTGTTCAACTATCAAATTGTTGTGCTAACAGCTGGGATGTTAGATTTTGGGGCTCACCCCACCAAGCGGGCAACCAAGATGACTTCCTTCATTACCACCGTGTCAGTACTACCCTAGCATTCAAATATGCCTTTCCATATCCATATTTGATACTCGACGTCTATTTTATATTTGCAACCAAACATCTGTCTGAGACGGTGCAGCGAAATACTGGCCGGAGCTATTTTCCCCAAGACCCGAAGCTGCTATATACATTTCTCTCAGCTGACATAAAGAGACTTATAGTAACCAAAGAACCCGAAACCAGTTCAGACCAAGGAACGCAACGAAGGGAACGAGTAGTTACCAACTACGTCAGTATGCCGAAGCAACCCTGGGAGGTGGCAGCCTCCGGAAGATCGTAAAACTTCCAGAGGGGGAGGATGAGAACGAATGGCTTGCAGTCAACAGTATGTTGCCATGCGCTCCTTGATATTGCAAATATTACGAGACTAATTCCTCATGTAGTGGTCGATTTCTATAACCACATCAATCTACTCTATGGGTCGATAACAGAGTTCTGCTCTCCACAGTCTTGCCCAGAGATGAAAGCCACAGACGAGTGAATATGTCGATAAACCCAGGTTTATAATAACTCTGACGAGAGACAGGTTCGAATACCTCTGGCAAGACTCCGAGAACTATAAACGGCCAACCAAGATGCCTGCCCCGACCTACATCGAGCACCTGATGGTATGGGTTCAGAGCAACATCGACAATGAGGCTGTATTCCCAAGTCGTATTGGTGAGTGTACCTATTTTGGCATATTTAGCAATGCAGCTACTGATAGTTCCAGGTGTCCCGTTCCCAAAGTCGTTCCCATCGATGATTCGACAGGTTTTCAAGAGGATGTACCGAGTGTATGCACACATATATTGCCACCACTACCCTGTCGTGAGAGAGCTGGGTTTAGAGGCCCATTTGAACACAAGCTTCAAGCACTACGTGCTTTTTATTGATGAGCACAACTTAGCTAGCGGCAAGGATTTCTGGGGTCCACTCGGTGACCTGGTCGAGAGTATGCTCAGGAGTGATTAGGACAGCACGGCAGAATGGAGTTATGAGGAAGGGTAGAGAGGGAATTATGGCGTTTACAGGAGGGGTTGCTGGCGTATTAGCAGAATGAGTTGTTCATGATCCGCGGTGGATAACGTGCTCTCCCTATTTGACCAAGAGGATTTATAGCGCAATGGGAGACCGTTGCGTTCCACGCGAACAACTTCAGTGCTCGCTGTAGTTACTAAATCAGTTACCCGTTGAACGACATAGTTCATGAAGAACCAACATGCTTTTGAGTGTTTTCTGATCCTAAATTCATGTTAATTGTAATATCTGGACCCTCGCCAAGCCCATGTTCCCAATTTAACCTAGCGCGTCAATGCGGCTTGGGACCGGACGCCAAGACCTCGAAAACCTTGGGTGTAGCCGGACGACAGCCATCGAATCTCTTTCCGACGACTACTTCCACCCCACGCAGGCACTCAATTGCAGTCATCAAGATGAACGTTTCAAGGGCATTTGTTCGGGCTGCGAACACCTCAGCAACACGCGTGACAATTGTGCGCAGAGCCGCCGCTCAGCCGGCAATCCGCTCGTACGCAACTCCGGCCTCCAGCGCCGACACCAAGCCTCCTGTCGCCCTCTATGGCCTCGATGGCACCTATGCCAGTGCTCTGGTACGTCAATTCATCTCTATAACACCATACCCATGAATCAATGGCTGGCCATACCAATCGCCCGGCGGCCTGATAGCCCATAATGCATGTGACGATGCTGACATTTACCTCCCACAGTACACTGCTGCCGTGAAGACGCAGTCTCTCGAGACCGTGGCCAAGGCCCTCAGCGCCCTCCAGGAGGTCTATGTCAAGGACCCAAAGCTCTCCAACATCATGCAGGCGCCTACCCTCACCTCCGAGGACAAGTCCGCCATCATCGCTGAGCTCCAGAAGCACACCGGTGGCCAGGACAAGGCCGACACCGTCAAGAACTTCCTCAACACTCTCGCCGAGAACAACCGCCTAGCTCTCCTCGAAGGTGTCTGCACCAAGTTTGGCGAGCTGATGGGTGCCGCCAGGGGCGAGATTGAGCTTACTGTCACCAGCGCTACTGTATGTTCCCCCTTCCCGATAAAGCTACGGGTGGATTTAAACTGACTGGAACACTAGCCTCTCGACAACAAGACCCTCACCCGCCTCGAGTCTGCCGTTGCCAAGTCCCAGTACGTTGGCCAGGGCAAGAAGCTCAAGGTCACCAACAAGGTCAACTCCGATATCCTCGGCGGCCTCGTTGTTGAGATTGGCGACCGCACCATCGACCTCAGCGTTTCATCCCGTATCTCGAAGATGAACAAGCTTCTCACTGATACTTTGTAAATGTCTGGTCAGACGGAAGATAGAGTTCGAATGTTTTGGGAACGAGAGAGGTGTATCAATAGACTAGCTGTGACCTAGGTTGAGATGCAATGTATATGAAAATTGAGAACTTTAATCTACTTGTTCCATCTACTATTACGTCTAGGGAAGTTGTTCTTTCACAAGAGCGGAGAAAACTTTTGTGTCATGATTTTATTTTGCTCTGGTGAAGCTCGTACCGGGTGGCAGGTCACTGACATCAAATTAAAAAACAGGTAAGTTAAATAGTCCGGATTATATATATTTTATTACTCCGATACGGCCAACATAGTTGACTACAGCTCATAGTTGGGAATCGCCCTGACTAGTTTGTCACCTCTTAACGCCATCCAATAAAATGCCCCCAATGCCATGCTTCACTCAACGCCCAAATTAAAATGCCAATTTTAGCCACCCTACATTAGCTCGACGGGCGGCCTCGAAGTGTGGGCCAAAATCGGCCTATCGATATCCATATCACTGTTTGACTCAGGCTCGTCGGTGAAATCCTCAACCGCGATGGCTGGCAGTGCAGGGCTATCGCCGTGGTCTTGCGGGTGGTAGATCATTGTAGTGCTGCCACTTCGTTTCCGGCCCTCGCCATCGGTTTCACTCAATGGAGACGATGGGAGATCAGTGTTTGGTCTGTGGTGTAGCTTTGCCAGCGCCTCTGCCAAATCCTCTGCGTGGACTTGCTTGTTTGGTGCGTCCTCAAGCTTCACCTCCCAGCCGTGTGGTGGGGATGGCGGAGGAGAGATGAAGAAGAGCTTGCCTGCGTCCGGCAGGGGTAGGTGTTCGTCTTTTGTCTCTATGGATGTTGGCTGGCCAAAATACACCCTCACACACTCGCCCATAATGGACTCGCCATCGAGGATCTGTCGTATGCGGATTGCTGACTCCTCCTCAAAGAAGGATACGATGATGCGGCGGAATGATTTGAGAGGTGCCCAAGAGTGAATTGGTGCTGAGGAGTTGATGAGCTCTCTGATCGTTTGGAGGTTATCGGGTCGGAATATTTCTAGGCCGTTCAGGTTTGTGATAATGAGGGTGTTGGATGGAGGAGTAGGCTGCTGGAGAGCCGGGACTGCGGAAATATCGAGGCTGAGAGGGGTGCGTGAGCGTGTGGATGCTCGCGAGGACTCTGGACTTGACTGGGTCGTCATGGTGCTTGTAGTGTAGATGTTGTGTTATAGTGTGGTGAGAGAAGTAGTCCTAGTAAGGCTGGTATGTGGGTTTATTCGTGGTTTTGTTCGCAGGGATTTGCTTCTGTTGTCTAGATCTCAGATCCGATTTCTGAAGGTGTTGACTGAAGGTGGGCGAGGAAGAGTGAATATATACGAGGGTGGTGGGTATGGTGGAGGTCTGTCAGCGCTCCGTCCTTCCGTTTTGGCTTTCTCTACGGCTTTTGGGAAGTCCAGTAGCCGCAGCAAATTGTTGAGGATCGAGTCAAGGAGGACGGCGGGGGGGGGCGGTGGCAAGTGGTCGGCGACAGCGAAACCGAAGCAAGCGTCATGGGTGGGCTGCTGCGCCCCCGCCATGCTCTAAGGTACACTTGTACACGGCGCCAAGTCACGGGACTAACATCAACTAGATATAGGTACAGCATTAAGTAGTAAGAGAAAATGATGCCTTACAATGAACACCTAGAAAGACAACTTGTTCTTAATTTCCTGTGCTCTGCGCTTCCTCTGATATATTATCATAGTCTCTTTGAAAAACAGTAGTAAGTTATGCGTAAAAGGTGGTGACTGTGTAGTGAATTCAAAGCACGTGACAGTGACAGTGACAACGTGACAATGGAATTTAACGTGTAAAGGAACGTGCACGCGCCTAGGCTAGGCACAACCTAGACGCCTATTCAGCGCATCGTGGACAGCCTTGTTCAGTCGGCGCAGCTTCATATTACTCTTCACGATATCAACACCATTAGGACTCCACTATCCCACCACCACACGACAGCAACTGACGACGACTGCGGCAGCCACAGTTGCAAAGCCACCGGATCTTCCATCACCAATACTTGCGGCCCTGATCCACCCCTCAGCTTCCCTTGTGGTCGCAAGACGCAGGTGTCGGCGGAGGCTTTGTAGGCTTGCGACTCTGCATAGCTTCACTGCTCCAATCGTCCCGTTTAGTCTTTCGCTCGTGACCCCGCGCGCACAGGCAAGATGGATTACGATCCCATGAATCTGGATGAGGCCGTTGGACCACAGGTCAAGATATCCGATGTAAGCATCCTCCCTGCTAGCTGTCGCTCCATCTGCGCCGTAACTGCTAACTCGAAAACCTAGGCGGATAATCTGAGGGTGGACTTTGAGCTCTCCAATGTCGACCTGTCCTTCGCCAACTCCCTTCGCCGTGTCATCTTGGCAGAGGTGCCCACCATGGCCATCGATCTTGTCGAAGTGGAGGCAAATACCTCTGTCCTCGCCGATGAATTCTTAGCTCACCGTCTCGGTCTCATCCCCCTCAACTCGAAGAATGCCGCGGATGTCAACTACTCTCGGGATTGCGAATGCGAGCAATACTGCGAGCAATGCAGCGTCACTTTGTTCCTGAACGCGAAATGCGACAGCGACGAAATCATGAAAGTTTACGCCCGAGACCTGGTGGTTGACTCGCTCAAGGCTAATGCCTGGGTGGGGAATCCTATCTTTACGGATGAGGGGGGCAATGGACCAGTCATATGTAAACTCAGGAAAGGGCAAGAACTGAAGATGAAGTGCATTGCCAAGAAAGGGATTGCGAAAGAGCATGCAAAGTGGGCACCAACCGCAGCGGTTGGATTCGAGTATGATCCTCATAACAAATTACGCCATATGGATCTTTGGTTCGAGGAGGATCCAGCTAAGGAATGGTATGTTATCACCGCTGGACAGGATGATCAGTGAAGAAGCGAAATCTAACGTGCATACAGGCCGAAATCTAAATACGCCGACTGGGAGGAGCCAGCTCAAGAAGGCGAGCCTTTCGATTACGATGCCGTACCTGGTAGCTTTTATTTCGAGCTCGAGAGCGCGGGAAATTTGGAGCCAGATGCGGTTGTCCAGGAAGGCATCAAGGTCCTTCAACAGAAGCTTGCGACTATTATCGCGGGCTTGAGTGATGGCGGTGGCATGGAGAATGGCATGAACGGAGGCGACTCATTTGCACCTCGCAGCCCAGAATTTGCTGGTGGGAACGCTGGTTGGGGTGATGCAGGTTATACGACTCCGTATGGTAATGGAGGAAATGCGAGCGCATGGGGAGGGCAGGGTGCTGCTACTCCATACGGAGCGACCCCCTACGGGCAGCCAGCAGCGCCGAGTGGGTGGGACTGATGATGTTCAGTAGCAAAGTTGCTACCATTTTGGTAACCTGCTGAGAGAAAGAGGTAATCAGCCACGGGGGCAGAGTAACCTCAAACTGGGCCATCTTTTGCAGAGATGGCCCAGTTTGAAGTAAAGCGGCCTCTGGCCTGCAACAGGCCAGAGGCCGCTTTACTACATTGTACCAACAGTTCCAAGACTCATTGCATGGACAGCGGGCGTCAAAAAGGTTATTTATTGGACGCGTATGAAGCGGATCCAAGGTGTTACGTTAAGTGCACGTCGATTAGGAGAAATAGGCACATAATATAACACATTTTGATGTCTATTCAATATGGTGCCTCTTGACGTCTATACAAAAGTATCTAAACTAACGCCGATATATGCAATGCGTGTGGTGTGGCCACTAAACTCTAAGCCTCTCTTTCAGATCAAACGCCAGACCTTGTGTGTAAATAATACAGGAGTGGAGCCTGCGGCCACCCTTTCTCTTCACCACCATCATTACGCCAGGTTCACATCATGAAGCCCCTTGGCCTTTCGATAGATCTTCTTGTGCTGTTCCAAGAATAAGAACGTCGCAATAGTATGTGGGCCCAGACGTATAAAACTTGGGACCCACCCGCGGAACATCCACTTGACCCCCTCAGACTTACACACATCCTTCAGCAGCTTCCCCACGCCATTACTCTCCGTCGATGACATAATACGGGTCTTGATCACATCCACTGGAGAGCAGACCGTCGTAGCCACGAAACCAGCCACAAAGGAGGCCGTGAAATGCGTGGTCAGGTTATCCGTAAGAGGGGTATGCACGATCAAGGCTTGCTTGAAAGCGTCGTATGAGGCGAGCTGCGATGCTGTCATGAGGACAGCGCGCATGCTGTTGGGCCAGACGCCGCGGAATAGGGATTTCCATCCTTCCTCGCGGGTCATGCGGATCAGGCCGTCGATGGCATTTTTGTAGTTCCTGCGCTCAGCAGCTGGGAGTGCTGCGTCGTGCTGCATGCGGACGTTCAGGACATCAGCAGGGTTCCCTGCAAATCCACCGAGAAATCCAGAAGCAGAGGCGATGGCTATTAGTACAGGGAAGGAGGGCGTCGATGTCGGGGTTGTAGCGGCGGCCTTAAGCTCCTCGTAAACGCCGAAACGGGTCGTTGAGTAGGTGATTTGTCGGAGGAGGGACGCGGATAGACCACGGTACAGTCCTGGGAATCCATCATTCTTCACGACATGGCCAAACGTCGCGATCATGGTAGTTGGGGCATTGGCGCTGCGAGTCTGGAGGCGGACCTTGACTTGAAGTTAGATTGGGGGGTTTCCGAGTACGGAGCTTCTGCGTTCGCGCATTAACGTCGCATATGACGTACCTTAACTATTGAGAAATTAGCACATAAATATATATAAAAGATTCCAGCTCAACTTACCAAGATCCAGCGGATGCGTTACGCATGCGGCGAAACAACTCGCGCTGCCTCCAAACCAGAACGGGTAGCGAATATGGGCTCTATCCCATGCCTGCTTCCGCGACAGCTCTTGCTTCGCCTGGTTGGCCTTGGAGGACGTCATACTGCCAATTGGTTCACGCGAGGCATTTCGTATATTTGTATAATCGGAGATTCGAAATCAGCCACACTACGTCAGTCAAGGCACCGCCAATCCTCCATCTCGCTCGGCTTAATATTTCCGATCGGCTCTCGGGTCCCCTAAATTAATTCAAGGCCGGTCTCGGATAAATGTTATCGCGATAACATAGAAACGTCAATAGTAGATATTATATTGTTATACCTATCCTAATACTCGTAGTGATTGGACTTTGGTCCGTTGAAGGTCAAGCCATGCGACCTAATTCGGTGACCAGGTCGCCAATACGTGCCGGCAGTGATGTGCTATGCATTATCATAGGGCTGGGGGGCACAGCAAGTAGATCCAGTGTTAATGTGTGCTTGGGGCGTAGGCGCCTCGCAACTGGTATATCTTATTCCTCCGTCTGCGTTGACGTCAATGTACTAACTGGTGCTACTTCTAGTTGCAGCACCTACCCCGCTCCCACAAGCCTTCAAAATACCTGAAACCGTTGAAATTGGGGGAAAGAAATATCAAACGGACGAGTGGCACAATGTCCCTTCGACAATCTATACCGCCGTTGGGCGCCAGCTGCACCTGGAAAAGGACCACCCCATCTCCATTACACGCCAAATAATCGAGTCGGTCTTTCCTGCTCCTACATACAAGTACCATAACAATCTCTTTCCTGTCGCAACAACACATCAAAACTTCGATTCGCTCGAATTTGCCCAAGACCACCCAGGCCGAAGCAAAACGGACACTTACTATGTCAACAAAGATACCGTGCTGCGTACCCATACCAGCGCGCATCAAGCAGATACCTTTCGCCGGAACGAAAGCGAAGGATTTCTCATAAGCGCGGATGTGTACAGACGAGATGCGATCGATCGCAGCCATTATCCGATTTTCCACCAAATGGAAGGTGCCCGCATGTGGGATAGGACAAAGGTTCCAGGCGGTGACATTGTCAAAGCAGTCTGGGAAGATATTGCAAAACTACCCAAACACGACATGAAGGTCGAAGATCCAAACCCGCCCCATCACGCAGAGAGGAATCCTTTACAAGCTCCTCACACCGCCGCCGAATCGGAGGCCATCTCTGCTCATTTGAAGAGATCGTTGGAGTTGATGGTTGCGGAGATCTTCTCTCGTGCAAGAGCATCCAGCGGAAACGCTGATGCTGTCTCAACGGCGGAACCGCTCAGAATCCGTTGGGTAGAGGCTTTCTTTCCATTTACGAGTCCTTCATGGGAACTGGAGGTTTTCTGGCAGGGTGACTGGTTGGAGGTTCTCGGCTCGGGCGTCATCAACCAGAAAATTTTTACAAACTCAGGCATGCCTGATCAACTCGGATGGGCGTTTGGCATCGGACTCGAACGGATAGCGATGCTTTTATTTGAGATCCCTGATATCCGGTTGTTCTGGTCGAGAGACGAGAGATTTCTCGGACAGTTCAAGGGGGTCTCGGATGATCTAGCACTCATGAAGAGGTTTGTTCCATTTTCTAAACACCCAGCCTGCTATAAAGATGTAGCATTCTGGCTGCGATCTACTTCATCTGCTGCAGGCGGCGGGACGAAAATGAACAGCCAAGATTTTCACGAGAACGATATGATGGAAATTTTGAGAGATATTGCAGGTGATACAGTGGAAGACGTCAAGGCCATCGATGAGTTCACTCATCCTAGAACAGGGAGGAAGAGTCTATGTTACAGGATCAATTACAGGAGCCTGGAGAGGACATTGACAAACGACGAGGCCAACAAGTACCATGATCGCGTCAGAAAGGAGCTGGTGGAGAGGTTTGGAGTTGAGCTGAGGTAGTTGAAACTCTCCTATCGATACTGGGACAGAATAGGGGGATAGCGAAGCATATTTTGCCACCTTATCTTGTAAAATAAATAAATGTAATCAATTTCATGTACAAGTAAACTTACATTGTATACATTAATAATTGTTTATTATTTGTTAATAGTGCCAAGTTCATTTTTTGCGACTCATGTTGAATATAACGTTTAACGTAGGTCATGGTGTAACCGGAATCCAGCCACCACCGCCAAATTAAGGGTCACATGACTAAAATAAAAACCTTATTAACTTTTGCAATACTCTTTATCTACCTATACACTATTGTTAAATTCGTTAGAGTGCAAGGTAGTCTTATTAAAGAGTTATTTATAGTTCAAGTTTTGCTATAACGTACATGTATAGCGAAAGCGCCAAACAAGCGAAAGCGCCAAAATTATCTACCCTCACGACAAACATTGCGATAAATCTACCACAACATTAGAAATCAATTGAAACTACTCGGAGTCCTCTTCCTCAGAGGTGTCTATTACAATCTGACACGTGCGCGCATTGTGCCCAGTCTCACCACACTTGCCACAGCGACGGGCACGGGTTTCTTCCCTTGGCTTCCGACCACGGCTTGCCCTTATTTCCTGCTCTACCTGCTGCACAACATCCCTCTCATCCTGTAGCTCTTCCGCCCCTTGTTGACTAAGTGATCCTCCTTGCTGTAGTCGTGTTTTCCTAGCTCTCCGGCGCTTGCTTAGTACTTCATTTGCCTGTCGTAGGTTTTGGTTCTCTCCCTTTAGCAGTGCTAATTGATGCATTATTTGCGATGCACCCTTTGTAAACTGGTCAACAGCTGCATAGATTGAGGTTGGAGAGCTATTTTGATGGCGTGAAATCCGAGTTTTAATAAATGTAGACTGTGACATAGCTTCAATTGGGTTGTTTGGTGTCTGAGAAACCCAAGGTTGAGCAGTACCTGGGCGGGAGCTTGGAGGCGTTGGTGTCCTTAACTTAAGATCAAGTGTAGATATCACTCTCTCAGGGTCAAATGGAAGAAGCCCTGCCCCTCGGAACCCGCCTCGAATGTTACTTTCCGTCATTGTAGTGTTAAATGCAGCGTGGAAGGCAGGAAAGAAGTCATCCTTTGTAATATGAGAAATATGAGCCTGCATCATATCTTCAATTTGCCGACCATAGGCCTGCTTTAACGGGCCGAAACAGCCAACATCAAGTGGCTGGAGTAGATGAGAAGAGTGAGCAGGCATACAAAGCGTAATAATGTTGTGTTCCTTGCAGTACTCCTCAAACTCATCTGAGTGGTGGCTCTCATGACCATCAAGGACTAACAAGCGATAACCACCAACACTCCGGGCCTTTGTATGCTTCTCAAAGTGCTGAATCCAATCCATGCCTCTCTCGTTTGTAGTCCAGCCATTTTCAGTAACAGAAATCACCCAATCGCTTGAAAATCCACTATTCTCATACCAAGATGTAAGGTGGTTTTTGCCTGCAACAATGATAAATGGTGGTACTGCCCAACCTTGAGAACTAACGCCTTGGATTACTGTAACCCATTCCCGATTACCAGGCTGTACCTTCTTTGCTTTTGCCCGCCCGTCTGAGCTTGTTACAACCATAGCAGTTGAGATAACGCCCATCATAAACCCAGTCTCATCAAAGTTGTAGATATCTGCTTCATCGATACCATATTTCGCAATTGTGTTACGCACAAGCTCAAACCAGCCATTAATAACTTCTGGATCTTCGCACTTAGCCCTCTGGTAGTCGTATTTGCGCTGAAAGCGTGTCTGGAGCTCTACACGCCGCTTAACAAAGTTTGAAGCCCAACGCGACCCAACGCGTGACGCGTCGCGTGTTGCAAGTAGTCGACTTGCCATATCTTCAACAACAGACAGCCGAGGAGGAAACCCTTTGGCAGCTAGGTCGAGTATATACTGAACAAGGACGGACTCCTCTAGGTTAGTTAATTTCCGTGAGTTGGCTTGGATATCGCGTCGTGAAGGTACACCTTCTAGACGACGACCTAGCTTGCGGTGGTCCACAGAATAGATCCTAGCAGCAACTCGAAGGCGTAACTTTGGGTCGCTTTGCATAGCCTGGATAGCTAGCACTAATTGGCTTTCATCGTTTTTATGGGGCATGTTTTGTTGTTGAGGAATTTAACATTTAGTTGGGGGGTTTGGTCACCGCATCATTTTGGCGCTTTTGCTTGTTTGGCGCTTTCGCTATACATGTACGTTAACGTGGTTTATCAGTACGTCGGACATATCAGTACCTCGGACACTTTTCATTGGCATTCTACTTTGAATATCAATAAATCAACCATAACATATTAAATTAACTATAACTAAGCGGAATCAGATGAACTAGACATATCTATAGCTTCTTGACAAGTTCGCGCATTATGACCAGCTTTTCCACAGATCCCACAGCATCACCTAGACGGTTGCCCCTCCTTGGTGCCTACAACTTCACGATTACATATTGCAAGGGCTCTGAGAATGCAAGAGCTGACGCTCTTAGCAGTAGTAATTTGTACAAGCTCTGACTGGAACAGCTCAGCCTCTGTTAACTGAGTTTGGATTTCAGTATAAGAAGACGCCCTGCTCATCCACATCCTTCTGTGCGATAATAGCCTGTGCATCCTCTACTATAAGTGCACCTCCTTCACGGACACAAGCCTTTTTAGCCCTGCGGCGTTTGCTAAGGGCTTCGTTGGCTGCTCGAAGGGTACGTACCTCAGCAGACAGAAGGTTTTCTCATGTGCTAGTCGCTCCGTACCCTTTGCCAATGCAATAACTGTCCTGAAGAGTGGAGTTGGCGAGCTTCCTTGGTGACGGGCAATTCGATTTCGAACGAGGGTTGTTTGTGAAAGAGCTTCAGTTGGGTTGGAAGGGGTCTGGGAGACCCAAGGGTTGGTGTTGGCAGTAGAGGGTCTAGAGGGAGTTGGAGTCCGTAACCTCACGTCAAGCTTTGAAAGCACTGCTTGCAGGTTGAAAGGCACTAAGCCAGCTCCGCGGAACCCGGACTGGGCGTTTTGGG